CAGGAAGATACAACAGTGCAGCTGATGGCGATTGGGAGAAATGTGTCCCAAGGTGCCTACTTTGAAGGGAACTGAGGAGTCATTGTCCTGCATACAATGTTTCTTTTATCTTCTTCAGTACATGTCTCTCTTTTTCATAGTACATGGCTGGATACCTTCTGGATAGACCTCATTTAAATATAAAATTATATAACATTCAAAGATATACTTGTATATATTCAAAATATTACAATTGGATTGATATAAAGGGGCTACCTAAACAAAGGAAGGGAAATGGACTTGGGAGAAAAAAAGGTATAACATTATTTATTCATTTTGGGTGGTAGATACATAGATGAATGTTATAATATTCTTTGTTCTTTTTCTTTTAAAACATTTTAACACATAAGAAAAAAGAAATGCAATTAAGAAGTTTTAATACGAACCACTGGCTATTAAAATTCTTTCAGCCTGGGATTTTTTTTCCCATTACTTTAGAAGAACAGCCTGGCCCGAACCAGCCTGTCAAACTCAATGAATCAGTACCTAAAAGTGGCAAATCACTCCAGTTATTATCTGTACTAGCAAGAGGTTTATCTTTCCCTGAATTTTCCAGTCTTCCTTATCTTTGCACATGCCATCCCCTCTTTCCAAAAAGGCCTTCCTCACAGTACTTGTTTGCCAGTCAGTCTCCAATTTATCCTCCACAATCTAGTTCAAACCTGATTTCTCTTCATCCGGATGCACCACCATAACCACCACCAGAATTTATCAGTTTACTACTTCTTTGTGTAACTCTCACTGTATCTTGGACATTTTCCCGTTACAGCACCTATCATATGATAGCATATTTTTTTCTCCTTTTAAAATCTTTTAAAATAAGTTGCTAACCTATACAAGTTTGAATTTCTGGCTTCACCTACAATTCGGAGGCTCTGACACAATGTAACGAAGTACTGGGGCCTCCTCCGCAGGGGGCACAATCTCCAGTGTGCTGTGCCCTCAGCACACCCCGTTGTTTTGCTTGTAGCTCATCTGCCTCGTGTGTGTTGGTCCTTCTAGGTATTTGACTCCTAAACCCAGAGCTAAATGAATAATTATTTGAATAAACCCAGGATTGCTATCACTGATTGTGTGGTTTAAGCAATTGACATTTATTTTCTCAGTCCAGGATGTAGGAAGTCCAAGATCAGGAAGCCAGCAGGGTTGGTTTCTGTTGAGGGCCCTCTATGGCTTGCTGCCTTCTCACAGTGCCCTCACCTGGTGGAGAGAGCAAGAGAGAGTGAGAGAAAGAGAGAGGCAAACATTGAATTTTAATTTATCGATTGATTTTAGAGGAATGGGGAGAGAGAGAGAGATTGATTCATTGTTCCACTCATGCACCTGTTGGTTGATTCTCATATGTGCCCTGACCGAGGATCCAACTCAAAACCTTGGCATGTCGAGATGATGCTCTAACCAGCTGTGCTACCCCGGCCAGGGCTGAAGCACAATTATTTTTAAATGTCAGTCTTCTCTACTAAACCTCTGAGCTTTTGGAGGGAACGGCCCTGACATTTTCCTGGAACTTAGCAGAAGGGCTACAGAGCAGGCCCTCAAATGCTTGCCAAACAAACAGCAGCAAATGCTGATGACAATAAAGGACATATGGGCTTGGGGAGCTCAAATGTGGTTCCCATTCATTGCACCACAAATCTGGGACCACTTAAAGATGGTCACCGTTTGGGGGCAGTCTGGTGGTTCTTCACTATCTCTTATCCAGATCTTTATAAAATAACTTTATTGATATCCTGAATATCCAGTCCCTTCCCACTCTAATCCATGTTAACGCCAGAATAATTTTTATAAAACATTGTCTTCATCTTGTCATTCTCTTGGGCAAAATGCACTGTGATTCCCTAGTACCTTTCAAATCAAATCCATATCTTTAACCTTTACACCTGAGGTCCCCAAGGAAATCTAATCTTCACACAAGGCCCCCAATGGTACTGCCTCACTTTAGCATTCTAAACAATCTCTCCAACATTTTATAATGTAAACTAGACTAGGTAGGCCTGAGGGAGATGGTCAATAACTGCAGAATTAGTGAGTAAATTAACTATTAGTGAATAAAAGAACACGAAACATAAAGGAATTTCCTTTCTAAGGAATTATTTTGAAAGGAAAAATATTACCTTATAATCAGATATATATTTATTCAATTAATAAATACTTAATAAGCACCTCTATGCCAAGGGCTGTGCCAGGGACCAGAAATACAGTGAGCTTGGAATCAAATGGGGAAAACTGTCATTAAATGTATAATGCCACTGTTAATTATGAGCATATTAAGTACTGTGAAGGATAAGTATAGCTAGCTATAAGATGAGTTACAGGGAAACCTAACTCTGTGGGCTTAAGAGTTTCCTGTAACAGTGCTGTTTATATACAAGCAGCAGTAATTCATGTGCCCAGTCTGTCTGGTTCCAACTGCTGATTGAGATTTTTTTTTAATTTAATTTATTTATTTGTAGAGAGGGAGGAAAGGAGGGAGAAACACCGATGTGCGAGAGAAACATCAATCAGCTGCCTCTCCTATGTGCCCAGACCAGGAACCTGGCCCACAATCCAGGCATGTGCCCCTACCGGGAATACGAACCAGTGATCTTTCAGTCTGCAAACCAGCACTCAATCCACTGAGCCACACCAGACACAGCCAGATCTTGAGTAGTTTACTTAAAACCTCACTTTCCTCACTTATAAAGTGGAGCTAACAATAGTATCTACTTTATGAAGTGAGGATTAAATGACTTAAGACATGTAAAGCACTAAGAATAATGATGGCACATAGTATCTGCTCAATAAATGGTAGCCATTATTACTACCATTTCTGGAACCTGGAAGACAGGCTAGAAGGAAGAGAAGTAGGAAGTAAGAAACACCAAGCAAAGAGAAACATGTGCAAAAGCCCAGGGGTGTAAAGTTGCTTGGCCTTTGGTAGAATTGAAAGGCCAATATTTCTTAGCATAGAAAGCTAAGGGGAAAGAGATACTATGAGATAAGAGATGAGGCTGGGAAGGTAGGCCAGGTGAAGGAGTCTGAACTTTATTCTTGGAGTCAGAGGAAACTTGAAAGGTTTTATAAAAGAGAGTGACATGCTTAGATTTGCAATTTTAAGAGCTTTCTCTGGCTACAGTATGGAGAACTGGTTGGAGAAAAGCCAAAATAGATGACAGGAAACCAGTAAGGAAGCTACTCCAGTAATCCAGATCGATGGCACAGAAGAGAGAAGGAAACTGGATGACTGAAGACATAGAAGACAGAACAACAAGACTTAGTGTGTGTATATTGGGGTGAGGAACAATAAATATTTGAGGAAGAAATGAATGAATTCCTCTGTTCCTGCCATATTGTTTCGCTGTATGAAATATCTTTCCTCTACTCTGTCTTCCCAGGCATTCCCATTTCCTTCACAAAACTCTGATCTTGCCCCCCTTCTTTCCAGGAGTGTTCTAGAATTTTAGAACTGAACATTCTTGAGTGACACTTAGCAGTTGAGGGGACTTGGAAATTGCCTGAAGACACAGAAAATTTTTTAGTCAATTTATCCCACCCACTTAACAGTTGAAGACAGCCACGCACCTGCAGAACTTTTCCTCTGATTGCATGAGGGGTACAGTCATAGACAGCCTACACTAATAAAAAGCTCTGTGACCCATAAAGCCTCATATAGCCATGGAAGCTTTCACAACCATTTTCTTCTTGGATCTTCACTGAAGTCTGATAAGACAGGTACTATTATAAAGGAAACAAGCTCAGAGCTAGGGTGACACGTCGAAGGTCACACATATATTAAACGAAGTGGCAGAGCTAAGATTTGAATCAAGATCTCCTGGTTCCAAACGGGTGCTTGCCAGGATGGCCGAGTGCTCTAAGGTGCCAGACTCCAGCCTCTGCTTCCAAATGGAAATCTCCATTATCCTTCATGGACAGTAAATACAGGGTGGGGCAAAAGTATGTTTACAGTTGTGTATATGCGACACACAGTTTATTTTTGCAGTCTTATTTATTATGTTTTCCATACAAACAACTGTAACCCTGCTTTTGCCCCATCCTGTATTCATATGTACTCAAGAAGACTTAACTCTTGGAGGAAGCTAAATGCCACTTCTGGGAATCCTTCCCAGTTTCAGTTATTAATTAATTTTATTAAAAAGTGTTTATTGGACACCTACTACGTACGAGGCATGGCACCTAGTGTTAGGGGTAGGGTATAGCACTGAACAAGACAAGATGCTTGCCCTCAACCTAGTTCAGGGAGCCTGACAAACAAGGAAGCAAATGTATAAACGATGTAAGTGCTAAGTGCTATAAAAAACGTACACAGGGTGATAGAAAAAAAAAAAAAATGTGTCCTTTGTCAGAGAAAGCCTTTCAGAAATGTCATTTGAGACCCGAGTTTGGTCTGCAGGAGGTGCTTAAGGAAAGACATTTTCCCCGCAAACCTTATCCGGGAAACCCGACTAAAGGAAAAAGCAGACTTAGTTTGCACCGGGGCCGTTCCCAGGCCTCCAGTCGCCAGACCGTAACTGGAAATCGACAGTTCCCGGCCAAGTCAAGCTGCCACCACTAGAGAGTGCCGCGGGTCATCCCAGCCCCTAGGAGGCGCCGTGGCCCCAGGCACTGCCAAACTGACATTTGGCATCTACGCGCTAAGGCGCCAAAGCCGGGGTTACGGACTGAGGGCAAGGTCGGCGCTAAGGAATTGAGAGGGGTCACTAGGCCCTCAAAGAGAGGACATCCTCAAGATCACAAACCCTCCTTTGGAACGAGCATTCGCTCCCTTTGGGACAGCCCGCTTCCGTCGCCTTTAAACTAGGAAGTACTGGCTGCGCCCAATCCTACCGTTTCTTCCGCCCTCAAGTCTTCAGTTTTCGTTGGAGTCGGATTAGCGCAGGGCAAGCGGTCTGCAGTTACCAATCAGCTCCCAGGAAAGGCGCATGCGTCATCAAACGAACGCGACGTACTGGAAACCACGACCTGGAAAAGACCTTCCCCCCCCGCCCTCCCTCGCTGAGAAGATGGCGCTCTCCAGGGTGTGCTGGGCTCGGGCTGCTCTGTGGGGTTCGGCGGTCACCCCCACACCTTATGTCACCCGGAGGCTGCAGCTTGTTCGCTTTGGACTGGCCTGGGGGGCCCCTCGGTGAGGGACCTGGAAAAGGAAAAGCATTTTTTGATGTACAGGCCCTTCCAGTGTTTCATCCTTGCTTGCATGCTTTTAGTTGTCAGGGTTCCACTTTCTGGCCTTGGGATTTTTATTCTTTTATTCAGAAATCGCACCCTGATCCCCGCTAGTGACCTGGCTTTTTGACGCTCTGAACTCTTAGTGCCCCGTATAGAATTCCCAGCGCGTCGTGAGTTCACCTTTCAGCCTCTCTTTTCTGAGTCTGGTTTTACCGATGTTTACCTCGGTCCCACCTCTCTGGTTTTATCCTGCTGCTCTGGCCTCAGGCCCTGTGCTCCCTCCAGATTCATGCCACACCCCGACATCCCTTCCTGCCTAGCTTCTCATCTGCCTCTTTTGTTTTTCTCAGTCTGATTCCTTATCTTCTCTTGATCCCAAGATCTTCCTTATGTTTCGGAGGTTTCAGGTCTTAGCAAAAATTCGTTGAGGCCTGTGCTGTACATTAGGGACGCCAGGTGTGAAGGGGCTGCTTGGACTGATTCCCAGATAGTCTGTTTGATCCTCCTTGTAGGTCTTCAAAGTTTCACCTTTCTCCAAAGACAGATGTGAAGAGCTTAATGTCTTATGTGGTGACTAAGACAAAAGTGATTAGTGGGAAATACCATCGTTTTTTGGATCGTCATTTTCCCCGCTTCTATGTCCTGTACACAACCTTCATGAAAGGTAAAAACAAAACTGAAATGGAAATCACTAGAACTAGTTCTTAGGCAGTGTCAGAGGGTTAGAGTAAGAAAGGTAATTTACAGGTGTTTTATGGGAGAGTGAGGTGGGATGTCTTGTGTTTCATAAATGCTTGAGTGTTAAAATAAATATTTTCAGTTAGCACTTGAGGGTGTTTCCAGAAAGGTATTGTGAGAGCAGCCCTGGTGGGGTGGCCTAGTTGATTAGAGCATCATCCCGATACACCAAGGTTGCGGGTTCAACCTCCCCTGTCAGGGCACACGCAAGAATCGACCAATGAATGTACAAATAAGTGGAACAATAAATTGATGTTTCTCTCCCTCTCAAATCGATCAATAAAAATTTTTTTAAAATTAAAAACATGTATTATGAGAAACAACCTCTAACAATATCCACAGGGAATATAGGTATTTTTGCACTTTTCTTAACCACACACTTAATCATAGTAGAAATTCTTTGTCATGCACAAGAGCAGGGATCTATGGCTGTACAGACTTGCCTTGTGATTTATCAGTTGACTTGGCCCATGAGAAAATGTGGTTTAATGCCTGTCACAAATTTTTCCTAGTTAGCATGTTGCAGAAATTGTGCTACAGTACTTGGTTTCTGAATGTTTTGGTTCAAATCAGAGCTCTGCTAGTCACTAGGAGATGATGTGATGTCGGTTGTCTACTGTGGAGCCAGAAGGCCTGGGTTCAAATCCCAACTTGTCACTGGCCATGTGATTGGATTAGTTACTTAATCTCTTTGTCCTTTGGTTTTCTTATCTGTAAATTGGGGGTAATAATGAGACCTACCTGTTGACCTCATGGTTGTGAAGATTAAATAAATACATGTAAAGTAGTTAAGGCCCAAATATAGTAAGTGTTCAATAGACATAGCTATAAATATTATTATACTCTATACTTTTATCATGACACCAATTACAATAAACTACTACACTGTCAGCTCTGAATATTATCATAATTATTACAAGCTTTGTGGACTTGCAAATTGCTTATCCTTAATTGTAAAGTGGAGCTAAGAATGGCTGCTTGGTCAGCTCCCAGTTTTTAACTAGGATCAAATAGAAAAGGGTCTGAAAACATTTTGGTGGTTTTGTTTTTAAGCCTTTTATTATGGAAAATTTTAAACACACAAAAGTAGAGAAAATAATATAATGAGGTTCCGTATACTCAACCTCACTTCAGCAATTAACTCATGACCCCCCACCTTATTTATACACATGCTTTCTTCTGTATTATTTTGAAGCCAACCTAGACATTATTTCATTCATAAATAGGAAGGCATTTTTAAAAACTAATGTTCTAGATAAATGTAAGAATTCTAGAATGAAGAGAAAAATGCAAACCATAGAAGTATGTTGAATTACAATAATACAAAAGTATTCTAGAAAAGAGTTAAGTTAGTATCTGGTGGGAGAATCCACAGGATTGGTTGAACAAGACTTCCTCAGGTTAGGGAGCTTTGAATTTTTATTTTAAAACGGGAGGGTTCATGAGGAATGAACCGGAAAAGAGAGAATGTTCCATAGTAGATCACAGAAGGCCAGCTTGGCTAGAGGAGAATATTTGGGATACAAAAGTGAATAAATCAGGGCTTCTGTCCTCAAGGAATTTACCAGCTACAGGTAGATAAAAACCTTGATGTCCTGTAGGAAAAAAGAATGAGAAAAGAGAGGTAGGGTTGCCTCACAAGAATTTTAAGCGACCTAGATGGAAGTTTTAATGTCGAGTAGTGTTGGGGAGAGACAAATGTGTGTATTGTGGGTGGACTTGGAATAGAAAGCGGTGGTGAGATTCATACTGGGACACCATTACACTCTGTCCTCTACTTTAATGAGGCAGGATTGCAGATGATTTGGGCTGATGCCAAAAAGGCTAGAAGAATAAAGACAAATATGTGGAAGCACAATGTAAAGTTTCATCAGCTCTCATACCGGGAGATGGAGCATTTGAGACAGGTATGGGCCAGGGGCACGTATCCAGAAGTTCATGGTGAGGTAATTCAAGTTAACCAAGATCTCAAGTTTTTTTTCTTTTCTATTTCATTAACCACTGTTCAAGCTTTTGCCTTTGCCAGGAGATTAAAAGTATTGAACTAAGTGCGATCATCAGATTATTTTTCAAACTTGGATTCTTTCAGGGTTGTAGCTTTCCATAGTAGAGCTCCGTAGAATTTTGCGCACACTTACTTAATAAAAGTTGTAGACACTAAAATCCAGTTTGTTTCTGAACATGTAAAAATCTGCAAGGATCCAAAGGGCAACAGGAAAGTGATATTTGGTGGTGATTTGATGAGTAGTTTTAAAGTTGAGAGTAAGAATCTAGGACCTGTTCTGCAGATCAGGAAGAATTCACAGAGGGATTTGGTATAATGTCAGGCCTCATACTAGAGAATATGGGATACAAAAGTAAATAAATCAGGGCTTCTGTCCTCAAGGAACTTACCAACTACAGGTAGATAGAGGTAACCTTGATCCTTTGCTGGGCTATAGTAGAGGCTTGCTGCACAGTGGGGTGGAGGGGTTGGCCATTGTGTTAAGAATGTGGGTTAAAACTGCATCTGTGTTTATTTTTGCTTAGTTCCGTCGAGACGTCACCAAGTGTCTTTTCCTAGGTATTATTTCCATTCCACCCTTTGCCAACTACCTGGTCTTCTTGCTAATGTGAGTACAGACTTCTGTCACCCCAGCATATTGACATATTTATTTTAAATTACGAATTATTTTAAGAATTTTACATTCAGAAGCTAAGCAGAAGTTATCAAACTTCCTGCTCCAATCTTTTCATTAGCCCAGGGTTCATAGAAGCTGCTCAGTAACACTCTGGTTACTGGGACAGCTCTTAAGTGTAGGTGGGCTAGATGCTCCCTGCCTCTCAGCTGCCCCTACATGATGTGAAATAAGATAATGACCTTGTTCATCATCCATAAAGGCAGTAACCCAGTCCCTGAAAGACATAGCAATTTGGGACAAATTTTTTTCTTCAGGGGAGAAATACTTTTCATATTTTGAAAACATAAATCTTTATTACTTTATATCCAAAGATGACACTTTTAAATTATGACCTTGCATGTTCTAGTTACTTGTTGTTATATAACAAACAAGTTCAAAGTTTCATGGCTTAAAACAAGCTCCATTTCTCTGATTTGCTGGGTCAGGAATTTGGCCATGTGAGTGATGGACATTTCTCTTCCATGTGGTGTTGACAGAGGTCCCTCAGTGACAGCTGGTGAATGGACTAGTCTGGGAGGTGCGAGGTCACCCTAATGTCTGCGCCTTTGCAGGGATGGCTGGAAGACTGGGGGTCAAGCGCAGAGCCTATTTGCGGCCTGTTTAATGTGGCGGCCTCAGGGTAGTGTGACTTCTCCCGTGGCAGCGCAGGGCTCCAGGAGTGAGTGTGCCAGCCAGTAAGAATCTGCCTGGCCGTTTGTAACCTGGGCTTGGAGGTCACAAAGCCTCACTTCTGCTTTCTTCTGTTGGTTGAGTCAGTCACCCAGATTTTAAAAAGGGACACAGACATCTCAATGAGAGGAGTGCCAGAGAATTGGTGGCCTTGTTTTAAAACCACCACACAGGTAGAGAAATGAATTCAAAGCGAATCTGCCCTTTCTATTTTGTGTTCACATGAAGACTGTGTTACTGTTAGGTTGTCAACATCACATGCAGTGTCCAGCTCTGTAACTCTGTCCACCTGTGTCCCAAGTATGTTCTTCACTAGCATTAGTTCAAAGGGTTCATTTTATCTGGCTGCCGCACGTGGTCCTCTTCCACTGCTGCTTCCTTTCACAGAACCTCAGCAGTGTTGCTCGACATTGTGTTTCATTGAATCTTTAAACCTTGGTCTGAGAGCACTGGCAAAAAAAGAGCAGCGTGGTAGGGAAACGGTGTCTCCATCTGTTCTTCCTAGTGTTCATGTCTGCCAGACGCTTTGAAAGATGCCAGTTTCAGCAAGTGACTTTGTCGTTCCTTTTCCTTTCAGGTATCTGTTTCCTAGGCAACTACTGATCAAACATTTCTGGACCCCAAAGCAACAAATTGATTTCTTAGATGTCTATCATGCTATACGGAAGCAGTCCCACCCAGAAATCCTTTGTTATTTAGAAAAAAATATCCCTCTCATTTCTGATGCAGGACTCCGGTGGCATATGACAGAGCTGTGCACCAAGGTATTCCTCCAATTAACCTTTGTTCCAAAGTAGGAATCTTGTTAGATTCAGTTTGCAACATCTACCTATCCCTTACCTCTCTCAACCCCTCCCAAGATACAGCGTGGCACCCATCCAGCAATACATGATATCCTGGTTCTGAGAGAGTGTTTCTCTAAGCATCCTCTAAGCATGAGCCAGCTCCATACTCTGCAAATGGTGAGTCCTCTCAGGCTTTCTCTCTCCACAGTTTCACCTTGCTTCAGGTCTTTGCTTGCAGTAATGCTATGCTGACTGTCTCCTCCTACATTGTTGTGTCGCAGAAAGCCTTGAGTCGAGCCATGCTTCTCACGCCTCACCTGCCTTCTCTCTTGCTGAGACGCCGTTTAAAGACTCACACCACTGTGATTCACCAGCTGGACAAGGCTTTGGTGAAACTGGGGATCAGCCAGCTGACTGCACAGGAAGTGAAATCGGTAAGAGCTTGATTGCGATATCAACCCTCAATCCTTGGTGGACTTTTGACTTCACAGGGCTGGGAGCTTAGTAAGAGCTTGTCTTGCTTGTTATAGCAAAATTCAAGCTCTGTATTCTCTCACCTCATTTCTAGATCTTTTTATTTCCTCATTGAACTTAAGTACTGGGAAGGCATTGCCCACAGTAATTCTGGTTTATGTTTCTTCTGGTCCTTCAAAAATGAAGGCCATTAATGATACTTTAGATCTACTGTTTTAGCTTATATAGGCCTCATTGCTTGTCACCTTAGTTCGAACTGCCATAGAGAAGGGCTTCTTGGGATGAGGTTGTAACTTATTTAAAGGAGATTTTGGGTTACTTGTGTGTTTACATTTCTTGGCATATTCGTTCTGTGATTATTAAGGACCATTTCTCTTCTGAGCGTTGCAGGCTTGTTATCTTCGTGGCTTGAATTCTACCCTTATTGCAGAAGAGAGGTGTCGAACTTGGCTGGCAGAATGGCTGCAGATTTCCTGCAACCTGAAAGGTAAAACCTCTCTCTGGCATAACCAAAACCCAAGTCCTCTTTGTGTTTTATTCTAAGATTATTTTGGATATGTACTGTGAGACCCTTCTCTAACATACATGTCTAATCGGAAGGCACAGGCTCATTAGCCTGCAGGGGCTACGCAGGTAACGAAGTAGACGGGGCAAGGCGAGCGAGCGAGAGTCGGGGCGGTGGGAGCACGGCGTCAGTGCCTGCTTGTCTGGCACAGCCTCTCCACCTCGGCACCTTTGACGCTCCGCTGCAGAGGCTGTCCTGTGCTTTAGAGGATGGTTAGCAATACCCCTGGCCTCTACCCACTAGTACCAGTAGTACCCACCCTCGCCTCAGTTCTGACAACCCAGAATGTCTCCGGACATGGCCAAATGTCCACGTGGGAGGGGAGAGCAGAATTGTCTCAGTTGAGCAGTACCAGTCTAAAGGTACCCAGATTCAAAACAAAACTGCTCAATTGGCTAAACAAAAAGTACCTAAGGGTGAATATTAGGCTGGTGGGTCTCCTGTTTGGAAACTTTGGCTAGGCCTTAATGTTTTCTAAGCCTGTGAATATCAGGGTGGGCCTGCTGATCCCATTCCCGCTGAGATATATCCCCAGAGCACTAACTTCTACCAGAAGAATCCCAAGGGTGACAGTGGTGTTCAGTACCATTATTATCTCTGAATTTGCTGCTGCTGTCACAGGAGAGTCAAGAAGTGAGGATGAACCCTGGCTGGTGTGGCTCAGTGGATTGAGCGCGGGCCTGCAAACCAAAGGGTTGCTGGTTCCATTCCCAGGCAGGGCACAGGCCTGGGATGCAGGCCAGGTCCCCAGCTGGGGGTGTGTGAGAGGCAATCAATGTTTCTCTCACACATGGATGTTTCTCTCCCTCTCTTTCTCCTTCCCTTCTCCTCTATCTTAAAAAAAAACAACAAAAAATAAGAAAGAAATGAGGATGAGTAGACAGGAATCTACATGGAAGGAAAGGAAAGTATCTATGCAGGGACTGTAACGAAGCAGGGGAGCTGGAGAACAATAGCCCCCCAATGTCATGGCTCCTGCACTTGGCTTCCTGCCTCTAGTTTCAAGTCCTGTAAACCAAGAGAGTTAGAAGGCCTGCTGTTCCCTGGCCAAACGATTCACATTGCTGGTGTTTTCAGAAGCCGAGCTGTCCCTTTTGCTACACAACGTGGTCCTGCTTTCCATCAACTACACTGGGACAAGGCGCTGAGTGAACATGGAGCGGATGTCATTGTCCTGCCATCACAGTACTGCTACGTGGGACCAAACAGCACTTGTCAGCAAAGTCTCTGTGCGCTGCTGGATGTGTGAGAGGCAGAGGAGCAGGTGCCACAGGCTTCCGTGTGGTGCCTGTGTGGGAGCTGGAACTGAAACACACCTTCTCACCAGAGGTGGCCCATGTGAGGTGCCATCCCAGCTCTCTTGGAATTAGCTGGAATTGGAAGCGGCCAGTGTACTGGGCTTTTACTGGGACATGTTCAGATCCTAGGAAGTAAGCTTCTGCCCGAGGTGGGAATGCTCATCTGGCTTAGGACTGACCACTGCCATACTCTTCTGAGCAGTGTTTTTGTTGAAGCCGCTTCCTGCCTGGTGGGAATAGCACTACTTAAACTGGAGCATTCACGTGCATGTTCTTTGATGCTCCCCTCAACCCCGAGGTGACCAAAAATAGGAATTTTTTTTGTCCCCCTCATTGGGGTAACTAACCTCTTTTCAAAATCCTTTCACCATTTTAACTTTCCTTGTTTTAGTGATTAACTTATGGGAACATTTGAATGGAAAAGATGAAAGAAGTCCAAGTGCTTCTTGACCCGTTCCCCAGTGTTTACAGCCTTCACACCCTTGTCTTAATTTCTGGGCTGTGCTACACCCCCTGTGGATCTTAAACTCTTTGCTACCTCCACTGTGTTGCAGCCTTCCCACTGTAACCTACAGTGGCTGCCTTCTTTGGGCCACGGATGAAACCCGTACGGCACTAATTACTGCCCAGCTCGGGAGACCAGGAGAGGTCTGCATCAAGATAGTAAGTTGGGTGTAGCTTTTGTCTATGTATGCACACCAGTGACCTGTAGTAACTTATTGTGAATGCATGAAGCACTGTTTTTAAACCCAAGTAAAGACTGTCTGAAATCAGTTGCTGGGAATTACTCATGCATACTCTAATCATTTTGCTCCTTTACAAGACTGTCATAACCTAACTAATGGGGAGATAATTGGTGGGAATAGAACTTTCTGATGGGGTGGCAGTTATAAAGGAACTGATTTGAAGTTGATTCTCTTGCTGGAATTTAAATGGTAACTAGGAATAGAAAATTTCACAAAAAGATAAAGTAATGAAATTGAAGGCCCCAAGAATAGGGACTAGAGAGGGAAAAGCTACAGCCGGGCAGGAGCGAGGCCTGTTCAGCTGATGAGGTGCATAAGGGCATGTGATGCCAAGCTCTTGATGCTCCAGAGAGAACGTTCTATTTTTCCACCATAAAACTTTTGTTAACATTAATCCCTAACTGACCTAATTAGTTTTAAATACAATGCTGGAGAAGTATTCTTTTTCTAACAAGTAACTGGATTGTGGCCTGCCAAGATAAAGAGTAACACACCATTCTTTTGAATATTTCTTTAATATTACATTTAAATATTCTCTTTAAATACAGCATTATCACAATGTAAAGGACCTAAATGGGGGGAAGGGGATTTTTTTCAGAGAACCAGACAAGCTTTGGATTCACATTGAAAATACAACCTGTATATAGTATGTAAGAAAGGAAATTGGAAAATAATGAGTTGCAGTAAGAAGTCATTTCTTTTCTCCAGGCCTGGACTGAGTGGGACTGAAGCCCTCGGCTTCTGTGATCAGAGGCCTAGCTTTTCTAGCAGCCATGGGCTCTCACTGTGTCCAGCTCAGGTAGCACCAGAAATGAGATGGACAAGGTTGTAGAAAAGGCCCTTTGCTTAACATGACAGTTAATGCTAAATGTTAACAGTTCGCATTCAAAAGTTTGGGATCAATGTGAGTCAGAATTGTGGCATTAACGAAGGGTTTAGAAGAAGAAAACTAGTTTCTTCAGAATAATCTTTATCATGGGGGTTGGCAATGAGTTTAATAATTAGATTCAAATTCTTGCTTTGATCCCAAAGGCTAATGAGTCTCTTACTGAGCAACTGGAAACACTTCTTGGACTAGGAATCCTTCCTAAGGAGGGAATGTATTGAGCTCACCCTTCCCTTCCAACACAAACTTTCAAAGATTCTTCTCCAAAGTCCAATTCCCAATTAAGCCTCAGTCTTCTATTTGAGGGGACCAGTCTAATGTGGGTCGGGGGCGGGGGGGTTGCAGATAGGTTTGGGATAGCATCTAGATCTCAGGTACCTAAGACTCTCAACTCTGGTCCTGTGAGGCTAGAGGATGGGGAGTGTTAAGGCCCTATGCACTTCATTAAGAACTCTCCTCCCCGAACGGGTGAGGCAGAATGGGTCAGAAGATGTGCGTGTGTTAAGTACCAGGCCTTTCAGGCTCAGTTTAGCGGTTTTATGGGTGAAGTGCTGCTGTGACATACAGGAAGGGTGCTTTAAGACACCAGGGTCTCAGTATCTCACAAGAAAAGGCTTTGTGAGCAAGATAAGAGGAACAGTTCTCTCCCCCACCAGGCTTTTACTTTGTTCTATCCTGGTTAGTAAACCACAACAGAAGCAAAGCATGTTGTAAAGGATGCTAGAGAAGAGTGTTTTGTTCCCTACTGCCTCTTATTTTAAAACAAAGATAACCTTGCTAATGAATTCAATGGCGCACACCCAGGAACATAAGCTGGACAGGAGAGGAATAGGAACCCTATTCCCAGATAGAAGCAAGAACTGAATTTGAGTCCAACTCTATAGACCTCAAAGGTTATCATCAGAACTTAAATTCTTTGGACCGTGGAAGTTGTATATAGCATTTTAAGAATTGATTTGGCTTCCAATTTTTATATACCAAGACGGAGAGGTCTGATAAATATTTGCAGTTCTTGGGGGTGAACTGGAATAGTATAAATCTCCAACACTGCATCTCCGAGGAGGACCACCAGGGTAGAGACGGGGAAAATAAAAACCAAACCAAAAAACTGGCTGGTGACCTTAGACTGCGACATCCTATATCCTTTAAAGCTCCAATCTCCCCAGGGGGCGGGGGAGGGCCTGGGTGAAAGCAAGCCTGGCACAAAGGAGTCGTCATCTTTTCAGACAGCAGCCCGCTCCTGCTGCCTCCTTTGGATACACAACGCTCCACATAGGCCTCCCATGGGACATGTGAGCGGCCTGACAGCTAGTGCTAGACCCGCACAGAAGACTCAGGCTCTTTAAGCCACATCCCCAGCTGGGGGTGGGATGGTGTGGAAGGGGGAGACAGACAGACAAGTTAAGTTCTAGTACCTAAGAACATGAAAAAGAAACAATTCAAGTTACAAACCAGGAATCCCCAGTGTGGGGAACAAGTCAGAGAACACCAAACATGTCAAATATTAACTTATTTACCAAATGGGGGACCAGGAAGGGCAGGTTACATTTTTATAAATCCTAGAGGTTTTGTACAGAAGCAGAGACCCTTCTACCCTCTCCTCTCCAGGTGACATTACCAGCTGTGTTATGATACACCAAAATGGCATATTGGAGTAACCACCAAGAAAAATGAGCTTGCACCCCTCCTGGAGTTCAGGAGAGAAGGGGCTTTGCCATGCTGTTCAATTTATGTATTCTGATCCCTACATAAAGAATAGCTGCTTGAATTACATAGTTTCTCCTCTGAGATCCTAGTTCTTTGTTCCAATGGCCCAGAAAGCTCAGTATCGGGCACTATGCGGCCGCCTCTGCCCCAAGACTATCCCCAGATCAAGCTGGGGCTGGTCTCCTTAGTTCTGTTAACGCTTTTAAAAATACTTGTACAAACAATCCTTTCCCACCCATTCCCCAAAGACCCCAATAAAATAACATAGGAGCAGCAGCTGCTTCTACAGTTTTGTTCTGAAACGCTGTTAGATAAAATAAGGGAATAAATAGAGAAGGGGTAAGAGGCAGAATCTCCATCCGTGTCACACTGCCAGCGGGAGTTCCAGAGAAGGGTCTTCGGGGGGCCGGTCCTCGCCCTGCTGTGAGGTCTTCTCCGCCGCACAGCCTTCTTCGCTGTCCGTGCTGAAGGGGAGGTTCGAGGGGGACCACGAGGGGCGGAAGTCTTCGTTCTCCGGCTCCTCGGGGTTACAATCTTCGGGTACTAGTGCTTCTAGAGTGGATGTTTTCCCTACTTCTGGTTTACAGAGGGCAGCTGGGTCTGTGGGGCTGCAAGCCACCAGTGAGGTAACTGGGAGAGAGAAGACACTGAGATCCTTCTCCTTGGGGAAAGAGGGGGGCACTTCTCCTGTACCAGGCTCTCCTTTCACCCCCAGGACTGGCCTCTGCTCCACCTGGTAATAGACCAGGGGCCCACTGTTCAAATAGGATGGGCTGGTCACTGCTGAAGCAGTTGGGTGGTCCGAGTTCTCGGCGAAACACAGGACAGAGGAGCCTGGGGTGAGCTGAGCCTGGATGAGAATGGGGGCTGTCAGGCCTGGGCACAGCTCTTCGGGGACAGCCAGGGGCTCCTCCAGGATACACACACCCAGGCTCTCGATGCTGGAGTCCAGGCTGGCACTAGAGCCGCTGGAGTCTTCCTCTGCCTTGAGCCGCTCCAGCTCCTCTGCACTCTGTAGGTGCATCACGGCCGTCTCGTTCTCAGCAATGAACTCCTGGAAGTCCTGTGTCTCAGATCCCTGTGCCCCAGGCAGGCTGCAGCTGGCGGTGGGTGAGGGCTCCTCATCTGGGGCAGGTGGGCGGCTCACCTGCCGCTTGCTCTCCAGCTCCAGCTTCATGATGGTGTGGAGGTAATGTGTCCGCACCCGGATTGGATTAAATTCAATGCGCCCCGCCATGTTCCCACAGCCATCCCGGGAGCAGCCACATGGAAAGGACATGCGATCCACCTGAGGGGACAAGGCGGTTGAGGCAAGAAGAGACCAACAGATTTAAGGATGGCAACAGGAGACGTTAGCTGGCAAGAACAAGCAGCTGGAATCTCTTTATAAGAGAACCAGTTCAAAATAGCATGCAGCATGAACTAAGACAGCACTAGACTGTAGTTATCAAACCATGTGTGTTTTAATTCCAGTGCATCTTCCCCTCCTTCCCTCCCCCCTCCCTCTCGCTCTCCCTCTCCCTCTCCCTCCGCCCCCCGCCCCGCTCGGGCTTTGTTTCCTCTTCTAAACAAAAGGTGGACAACAGTCATACAAAAGGGCCCTTCCAAGTTCAAAAGTCCAGAGATACCTCTCTGGATGGCAACAGTTCTCAGAGCAGAAGAGATTTATGTGCCTCAGATACGTCTTCAAAACTTACCAGGTTTACCGACAAAACCAAAGACTATAAGGCAGGCATGGGAAAGGGAGCAGAATTCCTAGCTAGTCCAAAGAAACACATTCTGGGGAAAACTGCCTGCTTCATTTTTCCCTGACAGTTTTGACCAGTTTGGTTCTGAAGCAGTTACCAAGATAAATTTCAGATGGCGGATATCTGGAAAGGAGATGCTTTCCATCTCTTTTCTCCTTTTTGAGTCCCCAAAAAGAAAAACAAAAGGAAAATTAAAAACAGGTAAGCCCAAGCCCAGTGGATTCAGTGCTGGCCTGCGAACCAAAGGGTCACCAGTTCAATTCCCAAGGTAGGGCACACGCCTGGGTTGCAGGCCAGGTCCCCAGCAGGGGGCACGTGAAATGCAACCACACATTAATGTTCCCCTCTCTTCTCCTCTTTAAAAATAAATAAAAAAATCTTAAACCAAAAAACAAAAACCCCACAGGTAAGCTGGTATATTCAAATACACAGTGTCTTCCTATGATGTCACTTTAACTCTCCATTTCAGTTCTTAAGGACAATCTAATTATCAGGACTATCCTCAAGTCTGTACGTAACAGACTGATTCACTGTGTGACTTCAGTCTGAAAAGCAGTATTTGTTTAGATCCACTAGAGCTATTTGATATCTACCAAAAAATACGAAAAGGTTGGTCAGGAGAAGTTCAACTATAAGGACTCAGCATCCATATCCTCACTGTACAAGTTCCAGATACATTTCATTTCTTGGGATGGTAATGCTGTTTTCAGTTGAAATGTATCTTCCAAACTATCCGTCAGAAGGCCAGCCGGGGAAAGATGCTTTCTATCTTCCAGGGCACTAGGAATTTAAGTTCTGCCAGACCAAGCGTGATCCTAAATGACAGGATCCAAGAACTATTTTGATTTTTATAAAACTGAAGTAGAGGTACTGTTAATAAGTGTTGGCAAGATAAAATCTAAAGGCCTACTTCATTTCTCTGCTTCCTTTTATCTCAAGGAACTGGTAATTATTTAGGGAACAGCTACTGTTAAACTTACTAACCCCCATTCCCCCATTTGCTGACAGCTGCTGCTTATCACCCCTGAGGTACTGTATAAAACGCAGAAGAGATAACAGGTGCTCCACAGCCTGAGTCCTGTCACGCTGGTTTCCTTGGTTGCCGGAGGACGGCTGTGGACCTGGGGAGTGTCCAGTCATGGGAAACTCACCTTTTGACGGGCAGCCTCCCAGGTTCATTGGCACCCAGGCCACATGCCCTGACTCTAGTGCAGATACACCATCTCAAGCCAACTTAGACTGACCTGGCATTTAATCCCAGCTTGGCTACAAGCACACGCTTCTGGGTCACAGTATAGTCGACAGTCACAACCACACTCTTCCCGTGACAGGCGGATGGCCCGAAGTTCTTGCTTCTCTTCAGCATCTATGCGGTGGACCCCAGAGGCCCTCAACAGGGCCCGTCTCCGTTTGGTGGGCAGGGGCTGCAGGAAGAAGTAATCATCTACCTCCACATTTTCCACATCAATATCTTCGTCGGAAACATCATCCAGTGTCAGGCCATCGGCCTCCACCGACTCCACTGTCCCATTCTTGGTCAGCTGCCAAGAGACAGGAAGGAAAGGTTAGCCTCCAGGGCATTATCAGCAGGCGCCTCCCCACAGGGGAGCACGGTTCAGAGTAGCAGGAGCCAGCTGAACTTTCTGCAATACAGAAATGCCTGTGCTGTCTAATACAGCAGCCACTGGCACATGTGGCTGGTGCAACTGAGAAACTGAATTTTAAATTGTGTTTAATTTTAATTCAGTATAAACAGCCACGTGTAGCTACCATATTGGACAGTGTAGGTCAAGAGGATAAATCTAGAGCAGGGCAACAGGAAGACTTACGCAGCTCTAACACCACCTCCCTGGATCACAGTTTCTCAAAACCCGTCTCGTCTTCCTCCTAGAAGGTAATCTAGTCCCACAAGCACACCCTCGATCGCCAGACTCGTGCCCCTGCCCTTCGGCTCCCTGCCTTCGAACACAGGGGGGAGAAGGTACATCAATGACTAGGTGTTACTTGGGTGTATGGATAACCTTGTAAAACACCCTTCGATTTGTACTTCAAAGGACTCAAAACCACATTTTGGAAAGAAGGGTTCGTTAAAGTATGGTACAAGGGTACCATGTCTTTGTCAATGAACCTGAATCCCCACAGTGTGAACAATCTATTCATACACAGAAGAGCTTCATTTTATTGAGAGGAAAATATGAGCAAATTGTTAATGACTATCAAGCCGTTGCTTCCAACCCATGGCCTAGAAGACATAAATGCATATTCTTTCTCCTTCCTTATGCTTTTATTTGATTTCTAAGAAAAGTTGTATGTAAGGTAGGGCGGCGTATGTCATACTGAATGTAACACCTACAGGCAGACCTGGGTTCTCTGGGCCAAGAGGGATAGACAGGCAGGAAAAGGGAACCTTAGTAGCAGGACAAGCTGAAGACAATCCACAGCTGGATGATTTTTGAAAACTCACTAGAGAATTCAGGTAGAGAAAATGAGGCCTTAAAATCCCCAGGGCTCTGGATGCTCCTATCAGGATGAAAGCCACGCTACTGGAGGGTTTGGCTTATTTCATCAGACAGCCACAGAGTGGTGCTGGTGAAGGAACAACTCCTAGGAGGGATGTGATGCAAGAGGGCTGCGTGGCGGGCCCCGCGCCTGCTCTGTCTGCTTGCTTGTTTGGGGTGGGGGCTGGTATGAAAATGAGGAGACTGGTCCTTCTGAGGGTTCTTCAGCCTAGTACTTCTGTACCAAGTACAGGGGCTATACCACCGGCCTTAGGGTTGCTCATCTATTTCACTAGGGTTGGCTTCCCCCCTTGCTCCTGCCAGCCTCTCAAAGGAAAGAGATCAGAGCTGCAATAGAAGGAAATCCATGTAGATATAAGAATTTACTGTGTCATGATAGAGCTGACTCTCCTATCACTTGTCAGTCTTCTAATAATTTTACTGTATTGGGACAACTGAATATTCTCTGGAGAAAAAAAAAGTGAGATCCCCAATTCATACTATTCATAATAATAAATTCCATGTGGATCAACGGCAAAAAAAAGTAATAAAAATATTAGAAAAATTATTGGCAACTAAAGCTGCAGAGTACCATCAGCTTTTTTTCCCTCTTTTTCTTTTTTCGGTGGCAGCCCAAAAGGAAAATAAGTATTAGATGGCTTATGGGAGGTACAGAATATATTTTTTAATTTTTCAAAATGTTTACTGATCTTAGAGAGAGAAACATTGATTGATTGGTTATTTCACTTACTTATGCATTCATTGATTGTTTCTTGTATGTGCCCTGACCAGAGAATGAACCTGTGACCTTAGCATAGCGGGATGATGCTCTAGCCAACTGAGCTACCCAGCCAGGGCCAGAATATATATTTTTGAGAGCAATTGCCTCCCCTACAGAGTGTTAAAGATAGGAAAACTTCTAAGAATAGAGTAAAGTGGACTTGGGGAGGGCAAAAGGTTTTCTCTTGACATAGAAGGATGTTCTAGATGCCATTGCTGCTGCTGCTCACTGATCTACTACAAGTGGGAATCCTGCACCTTAAGACTTGAATTTGTCTCTAGACCTCCTACAAGAGAGGCCACAGAACATGACGACATCTTGTTTTGACACGTCATTTCTCTACCAGGTATAGGAGAGGGGTTCTTCTTGAGAAGAGGGCAGCCTTCACTGCAAATGATGAGAACAGTGTGTATGTGCCCAGCTGTTGCTATAGAAGCAGGAAGAGGATGGGGTCAGTGAAGGAATTCCTCAGGGAAAGGGAAGCCTGAGTGTCATTCTAGTTAGAAAAACAGGTGTGAGGCTTTAGAGGCAGGCTGAGGGAAGTAGACAGAGCACTCCCAAAGGGAGAAGGGAATGAGATCTAGTTAACCTGCATCCTCTGCCACCAGTTCTCTAACCCTACCACACTGTGGTGTATCTCAGTAGGATTTCACCCACAACCCTGGAAATAATGCAGCCACCTATTTTAATATGGGCCCACAACAAGCCTGGCCAGGCCTAAAGCAGTGTTTTCTGAATTTGGAACGAGAAACTCTGGGGGAAATTTTTGCAGACTGGTGGGAATTACGGCTATAGAGTGCCAAGCAGTGCGAAGAGAGCACATGGGCGGCTACGAAGAGCCACCTGAGATGGGCCTCGTCTCTTCCGGCTCGCTCTCCTCTCGCACTTGAGGAGCCGGTGTGGCAGCAGTGGCTGGCACAGAACATACAATCGAAATAACCATTTGGTAAATGCTGCTGTTTATACCTGAGTATCACCTAGAGGTGATAGGGGTTAGAGAAACAGTAGGATCCTTTCACACAATGAAAAAGATCCAAACCTGTTCTGTGCATGAGGGCAACAGATAATCAACTGACAGGAAACTGAAACATTGTGCCTCCTCAGGTTCTAGGGGTGGCAAACTTGAATGTCTTCAAGTACTCATGTTTTAAACCTCTAAAAAAAAACTGAGGGGGCAAGAGCAGGGAATTCTAGAGAAGTCATTTTGCTATCTCTGGTAGCTCCCCACTAGATACAAAAAGAAGGATTCCAAATCTGAACCTTTTCCCTACAAAGATCTGGAATCTGTATGCCAAGGGCAACAGTTTAAAAAAAAAACAAACCCAATAGACCTAGATGGTTTCCCACTTTATTTTGGCATGAGGAAAGTACCAGACCCCAGACCCCCTAGGCACCTTCATCTTCTTGGCGTGGAGTTTCTCCTCCTTCAGGTGCTCACGAAGAATCTCCCGATGGTTCACCTCCTGCTCTTGCGCAAACTCGCAGAGCGTGTAGCTGCGTACAGAGTTATGACGCTGCGCCATGCCCAGAGAGCTACCACCCTGGCTGGGCACGCTGGTAAAACCCTGGCGCCGGGCAAAGTAGTACACAGTCACCTGGTCGAAGCGTACATTCTTCCTCCGCAGCTGCTTCTGCCGCTTCAGGATAGACGTGGCTGCGAAGGGAGCACAGAGCGGTTTTATTAACCCAGAGATGGCCTGTTTGTGGACCTTATTCTTTCTCATTCATCTAGGCTCTCAACTCTTCTCCAAAGGTGCTCCCTGTACCCAGAGAGACATTTCTGATTTTCAAATCATGAACGCACAGTTGGAAGGGACCTTGAGCATCAGCTTAGCTACAGCACTGCCTCCAGGCTGACTTTGCCCAAACAGACCACAAAATCTATTTTTAGACATCAGCTGGGAAGAGGATCTCTAGGTAATCTCAGGATAAAACAACCTATATAGCTTCACTGTCCAACACAGCAGCTACTAGCTTCATGTCGATTTAAATAAAAGCTAATTAAAATGAAGTAACATCTACAACTCGGCTCCTCAGTTACACTGATTCTCATTTCAAGTGCTCAGGAGCTACATATGGCTAATGGCTACAACAGTGGACAGTGCAGATACAGAGCATATCTTTGATAACAGAAATTATATTAGACAGTGTTTTATAATGTGATAGCAAGCTTCTTTAAAAGGCCAGGTAGTATATGTTTCGGGGTTTGTTTTTTTTTAAATTTTATTTACTTTCAGAGAGAGAGAGGAAGGGAGGGAGGTAGAAGGGACGGGAAGGAATCGAACCAGCAAACTTTTGGTTTGCAGGCACTCAGTCTACTGAGCCACACCATCCAGGGCTAGGTTTTGCGGGTCACCAGGGCTCTGTTGCAACTACTCAACTCTGGCATTGTAGCCTGAAAGCAATCACAGACAATGGGTGTGGCTGTGTTCCAATAAAACTTTATTCACAAAAGTAGGCACTGAGCCAGATTTGGCCCATAGGCAACCCCTGATCTACAGTATCAAAAGCTCTTTCCAAGAAACAAATTGAGCCATAAGAATTAAGAAATCTGGAGTTGCCCCAGTTGTGCCGGCAGTAAGTAAGGATTAATGTCCTGCTAGAGCTACAGTATCAGGGAACTCTGTGGGACTTTGGTGGGGAAGGGCAGAATCCTGGACTCCTTTCCTCCTTCAATTTAATCCAGTCCATTCTGGGGACTCACAAACCAAGCACAAGTGAAACCAGCTAGAATAAATCAGACTTAAGTTTACAATATTAGGCAATGAGGTCCTCCAAAGCGCAAGCCTGAGCGAAGAATGGGAAAGATTATGATTAAGGGAAAATCCCCAAGCTGGTTAGAAGCTGTCTCAAGAGCTGCAGTGGGCTCTGCCGCCTGGGGACAGGGTGTACGCAGGGCGGGGAGCGGCTCACTCACGTGTGAAGCTGGCCGTTGTAGGAGGATTGAGGCTGTCGCAGCTGTCGGCACTGTCACTGCTGGAGATCTCATCATCAGAGTTGGACACTGATGAGCCCACATCCACATCATCAAACTTCCTCTTGAGACCCGAGCCCGTGAATGCATCCATTGGTTTCAAAGGGGTTTCCTTCGGGAGCCCACCACGTCGGCCCCAAAGCCCCTGCTCACCACCAGCTAGCCAGGTGCATTAGGATTCTGCCCGGGGGAAAAGAGGAATCAGCATTCCTGTCCTAAAACAGACCCCTCCCAGGTCTGTACATAGAGCTCTCCAACCGAAGACAGAAAGCACCTGAGCTAGCGCCGCTATCAGGGCTCTCCAGATTAGGTCACTTCTCTACTGATTCCGGCAACATTCTCCTATTTTCGTTTCCCCTCAGCCCCTCCAGTCTCAGTCACTCCCGGAATAATGAGGTGAGTAACCGCAGCACCTTTCCCAGTGGGGTGAAGGCCTTTGGTTCCAAGCCAGCTGGGCTCCAGGCTTCATTGGCTGGGGCATAACAGGAGCTGCTCTTCTGATCACACAGGAGAGCTCTCTGAGGGGCCAGCAGGAGGGACTGGGGATCGAAAGCAGAATTAGGCTGTGCCCAATCCTAGACTACATCCAATTATTTTTCCTACTGAAGATATAGGCTGGCATTTCCCAAAGTGTACATATGAAATAAACTTATTCAATGGATATTAATAGCTTTTACATGGAAATAGGACTGCTGTGTCAAAATAGTTTAGAAAACTGCTTACCAGAGGACCTCTTTAGGGGCTTTTAATATGCTAATGAGCATGGGGAAGAGTGGGAAAAAACGGAACCCAGTGTTTCACACACCTGATTATGGGACCCTTTATTTTCCAGAGTATTTTAGGGGGCAAATGATCCTTGGAACACACTTGGGGAAATAGTGCTCTAGGCTCTCAATTTCAAAGTACATCGGCAGCCAGGGAAACACTTTACCCAGATCTTCACAAGTATAAAGTGTCTCTCCAGGCTCCTAAAAAGGTCAAATTTGGTTCTAAAGAATAAACTGAAGATTAGAATCTTCACTGGCTTCAAAACCCCGAATCTTTCCCAATCTCATACTGCTCCATAAAACAGGGCTCCGCTGGTCTATCATCTTCCTCCGTGCAAGGAAAACCTAGCTTTACCACCTTTGCCCTCTGCAAAGAAACCAGCAAGAAGAAACAAATAGCAAAAGAAGCGACAATTGCCTCTGGTTACATCAATATGGTAGGCAGTGTCTTCAGCAAGCTGTCACACAACCAAGGAGTCTGGGATAAAATCTCTCCTGTCTTTGGACTTTAGTACCCAAGGATGTGAATCTGCTCACAGAAATGCCATCAGAGCCAGAGCCACATGTGATGATGATACGAAGCCTCCCTGCTTTGCCTCAGTAATGCCAGAATCTCCCCAGACTATGATCTCACTAGTTGCTAATTATGCAGCAGGAATAACAACGCTGCCCAGAAAGACAGGGCTGCATTACTGCAGAGCAGCAGCTACCCAGAATATACGGTGGTGTCAGAGATGCCTGCTACAGAGCTGTTTTTTCTGGACTATGTCTTTTGGATGTAATTTGCCTGCTCTTGGATAAGCTCTCATGCTCAACCAGATCTAGTAAGTATTTTAGAAACGATACTTCCGAATCTATCTAGATCTCATCAAAATTCTGCCTTTTTAAGTCACAACATGGATCTGAGAAACCTCAGCCATATAGGTCTCAGACAAGCGCATTCCTGAAATAAATGTGGCCAGGGAGGGAAAAAATAGTAATCAAGTACTTGATAAGAACTGTAATTAAAATGAAAAATGAGTCCAAAGTATCCATTTTGAAATTTTTTTAAATCATTAAAAAATACTTTTTCAATTATAGTTGACATACATTATTCTATTAGTTCTCGATTCTGTTTCCAGGTTACTGATCATGCCATGAGAGGTCACATTTCTAGGACATGGTGAGAATGGAGAGAGCCGAGGTCTTTTACGGGTTAAGAATACCACTGCGTTTAAAGATAGCTATTAACTAACGAATTTCCCATTCCATTCTATTATGGGAGGTGGGGAGGAACCTTTGCAATTGAGTACTTATATGGGTGGGATTAAAAAAAAAGGAGAACAATGCTGACCACTGAATTTTTTTCCTCTCAACTTAAAAACCTTATCAACCACATGAAAACTCAAACTGAGCTCCAAATTCTGCTTTCTCAGAAAAGGTGTTTAAGTCCAGCTTCAATTTTAGCTGAGATCCAGCTGGTGTTGCTACTACGAAAGTGGCCTTCTCTTCAGCCTGGAATTACTTAGAGATTTATGACTGAAAGTGAATATGCACTTCTGGCTCTCTCCTGGGCGCGCCCCTTTGCTTAGGGTAGTGTGGGTTACCTCGGAATATTTCTCTTTAAGCCCTGAATGACACTGGATTTGGTCCAGAATCACCGTTATTATCAAAATTCTCCACTGTCTTCACTCAGCTGCCCTCAGGGGTATCATTTGTTAGGTTAATTTTTGTGCACTCTGGTGCAGCAAGGATTGCTGGCCGCTCACTCCACTCGCCTTCGCCTTTTAGTCTATGTCTTCCCCACTTCCACCTCTGGAATAGTGGTTGCTGGGCAATGATAAGAGGTAGGTAAGGATGAAAAAGATAAAAAGATGCGTAACCTAGGAGAAAAATATTTTCCTTAAAATACCTGAGAATAATCTATTACGTGCATATTGGCTTAGCTCTTTTCACTCTACCCAGAATCTGTTAGCATCATGTTCTCTGACACTAACTCCATTATTTAAAAAAAAAAAAAAAAAAAATCCACCGATTCTGTTCTGACAACAAATATAAATTTAAATTTCAACCCAGCTCTCCTTGTCCAAGTCTCTGGGGTGAACTTGACTTGTTAGATTAAAATGTTCACTGGGCACTAAGACAAACCTACTATCCACTTCTGCAGTGGCCTGTGGAGATCTTGCTTTGCAAAAGCAGCACCTAGAATAGGTTCCACATTTTCCAATTTATCAAATCAACCTCAAAACACAATTAGAGACCAGTCATTCCCATCTCTCACCTGGCAGAGGAGCACAAGTCACACTCCCAGCACGCACACCCATACAGCGACGACCAAGGCGAGACTGGCAATGCAGGCCATGGCTGACAGTGAACTGTCAAAATAAGCAACTCAAACAGCAAACGCTTTTGAGAAAATAATGCAAACCTCTATAAAAGCTTTTAAATGCCAGTGAAATGAAAGGTCAACTGACACTTTCTGGCTACATGCTTTCCGGTCTTTTCTCAAATGTTTCTAGCTGAACATTTCCCAAAGGTATTCACAGTATGTAGAAGATATTAGGCTAGCACCAAACATAATAGATCTACAGCGTATGTGCATTTTAGTACTAGATCTAAGCCTTTTCATACCTATGAGGATTCCTCTGACAACCCCCCAAAACCAGAATATGTCACCCTGCCAAATTTTGTGGATGCAAAATATGTTTGCAAAGTTTAGGTAATAAAAGTCTGTCTCTTAAATGAACGCAAAATAAGACAAGGTACATCTCACAGGAGAAAGCCTCTCTGCTCAACTGGAACCCAACCTTCTGCTAAGGGTCAAGGGACCAAAATCTCAATTATTAAGATCATCAGGGCTACCATTTGTAGCTAGGTCAGAGGAAGAAAGGCTTGCTAAGTGTTATAATCAACCTGAATAAGATGACCTGTCCTATTTCTTTTACAATATGTTGTGATTAATCCTTAAATACTATGAATTTCATGGATCTATTTGTCCTTGTGATTATCAATATCATGAACTTTTAAAGCACTCAAGCGAAAACATCCTTTAAACTAGGTATTTCTAGGAAGTGTCCCTCCAACACTCCTTGGTATTTACTGGTTCACTGACACAAGGATAGAAGTTGGCTTTCTGTGCCTAAAGAACCATCATAAGGACACAAGATCTCTGTGGAAGAACTGGAACATGATGCTGTAGGGACCATTAACTCTCAAGGATATCCAGTCATTTATAACTCAGGCACACACCATCATCCTCTTGGCTTTGCAGATTTTCAAGATGGAAATGTAAATTAACTATGAGTTTACCTTGAACTGAAAACTGTAGGACAAGGGGACACTGTGTCTCTTGGGGATAACTTCTAACATTTCATACTGAAAAATGGATCGCGTGTCACAATGCCACTCTAAACCCCCTTAAAACGATGAATCAAGACCATGGCACTAAAAGGGATGAATGGCAGTCAGCTGCGTGTTTGGGCCTGTGAAAAAGATCAAGCTAGCAACCAGGGCAAGTGATGCTTTCGTTTTCCCACACAACGCCAGAAAAATGGGAGACACATCAGGAACCTGAGCTGAAAGGACATGTCAAGTCACCAGTTCCCCTTAATGGAACTCTCGCTGAATCCTTCAGCTCCCGGCCCATTCCTTTCCGATTCGTGTTAACCTTCCCGCTCATTCTTATCTTCTGCAGCCCCTACCCCGTCTTCCCATCCCTTCCTGCCTGCTACTCACAAATTCCCAACCACTCCTCCCACATTTTCCTCTATTCTCCCTCCCCTTCCTGCACTTCCCTCCATCCTACATCGTCTCTACTCCATCCCGAACTCAACCCTCATCCGCAATCATGCCGGCTTCCAAGCCGTCCATCGGTCTCCCTCGAGCTGCCCCCGCAGTCCGGGCCCGTGATCTCCGTGCCACTCGCTCCCACGCCTCTCCCTACTCTTCCCCTTCCCAACGGCGCCTTACTTCCCCGCCCCCGACCGCTCCCGTCCGAGCCGCCCGCATTTCTGACCCCTCCATCCGCGCGGTTCTGGGGTAACCACTCCTCCACCACCGCCCGAGAGCCGATCCCGAGAAAGGACAAGGCGGCACCCTCCGCCCCGCACCCCCAGGCCCATTACCGGCCCCGCCGCAGCTGCCTCCTCCCGTGATGGTCTCTGCCGCCCCCGCTGCTGCCGCCGCCGCCGCCCTAGCCCACTGGTAAGGAAGGAGGAGAGCGCGAGTCCCGGGACTGCAGCGACGGTCGGGGAGCTCCCAGAGCTGCAGGACAGGGAAGGAGGGCGGGTGGGCAGGTCGGCCGGCAGGCGGCGGAGGGCGGACGGCTCCGGCAACTCGGGCGCCCCCGGCAGCAGCCGCCCAGAACCGCCCCGGCTCCGGCTAACAATAGGCTCCGGCCGCAGAGCTCTGGCTCTTATAGGCGCCGGCACGTCTTGACCAAGGCCCGAGGCAGGCTGGGAAATGGAGTCTACTTCCAGGCCCCACGCCCAGCGGCATGCTGGGAGTTGGAGGCATTGATCAGCGCAAAGCCGAAACTCTCCGAGCAAACATGCTTAGGAGGCGGTGTCTGTGCTGCAGCGGACCCTGGGAAGGAGAGTTAGGCGCCGCTGCAGCCTTTCGAAGAGGGGAGGCACTCAGCTACAGATCTTCAATGACTAAACAAATTCTCCTCTAAAACTCCCCTTTTCCTTTCGACGGGACCGCAGTCCCACGCCTACAAAAGAACATAATCCCCCTTAGCTCGCCCATGAGATATCTTAGTCTTAAATGGCATGACCTGCTGGAACCTGCCCAAGGTATAAAGAAAATACAAGCAATGTATTGAATTATCTCAATAGGTATTGACGGATTGATAGAAGTGTTTCTTTCCGAAATTTTTACATGATCATTGATCTTCACAACTTTGCAATCCGTTTTTAAGATGGTAAACACACACACACACACACACACACACACACACAATGGTAAAAACGAAGACTCAGATGTTACGGTATTTGTCAAGGACATCCTGCCTTGTTTTCCTATCTCATTCAGAATCGTTCATGTCTCTTCCTTGACCCATAAGGCTCTGCAAGAGATAGGTGTATCTTCTCCCCTCCCACCCCCAATCCTATGTCATCTTGTTTCCTTCTACTTTTCCTCACCCTCACTCTGTTGGAAAGCTCGCCCACTGGCCTCCTTGCAGTTCTTTCTACAGGACAATCACGCTCTCATCTCAGGGCCTTTTGCCCAGAACACTATTTCACCAGCTAGCCACATACTCCCTCAATATTTGCTCGAATACCCCTTTATCAAAGACTTTCTCTAACCATATTTCTAAAATAGTACTTCTGCCCTGGCCAGATGGCTCAATTAGAGCGTTGTCCTGTACACCAAAAGGTTGCAGGTTTCATTCCCCGTCAGGGCACGTAACCTAACTTGCAACTTCAGTCCCCTGTGGGGGCGCTTAGGGGAGGCAACCGATTGATGACATCGATGTTTCTTTCTCTCCCCCCTCTCTAAAAACCAATAAACATATCGGGTGAGGGTTATAGATAAATAAATAGTGCTTCCCCTTAGTCTCTATCCTGTTGCCTTGTATTTCTGCCTAGCATTTACCACCTGACATAAATTTACGTTTTTCAGTCTTCTCTGGACTAAATTCCATGAGTAAGAATTGTTTTGTTTACTGTATGGTCAGCACCCTATATACAAAGCCTGGTATTTGACATTTAGGAGGTCAGTAGATATTTACTGGTATTTACTGAATTGATGGACGGCAGGATATAAACTCACGTTAGTCTGGTTCCAAAGCCTAACTTTTCACTGCATATAAGAAATATGGAGCCAGCCTTGGCTGGTGTGGCTCAGTGGATCCCAGTACCGGCCTGCGAACCAAAGGGTCACCAGTTCGATTCCCAGTCAGGGCACATGCCTGGGTTGCAGGCCAGGCCCCCAGTAGGGGGTGTACAACAGGCAACCACACGTTGATGTTTCTCTCTAAAAAAAAATAAATAAATAAATAAAATAAATAAAATCTTAAAAAAAAAAAAAGCTATGGAGCCAGATCTAGAGGTTGGGTGGCTTGGAAAAAATGCTACAAATTCCATTCCTCTCCCCTAAGTGGCATTGGAGACTCCAAGAGGCTAAAATTGGAATTCAATTTTTAAAGGAAGTTGAATAAGCACAATGTTCTATCACTATACCAATTCTTACCAATTATATAGTATTGGTACTATTAAGTATTTTTGAAGCTAAAGCAAGCCTAAGAGATTTTCTGGTTAATTTAAGGATCTGTGACTACAAACTTGTATAAACTTATTTATATAAATTTGAAGGCTACTCTAAAAAACCTCCCTAATTCCAAGTAAAAATTGGTGTGAATTTATAGTAAATATAATAGAATTCTATTAATAATTTGTAGTAAACAAGAATCACAGATTCAGATGGAGAAGGGACCTTAAAAGTCATCCAGCCCAACCCTCCTGGCCTAACATTATTCAGACAGAATAGAAAAAAACAAAGCACACCGGAAGTCCCCTGAGAACGCGGTCTTCCCCGAAGCTGAGAACCAGTCCTAGAAACATAGTACAACTAGAAATGTCCCCCTAAAATGGAGACATCTGGTAATATTTCACTAAACAACTATTTTGGCCTAACATGTCAAGTTGCCCAAGTCAGTTCTAAAACAAGTTAGTTGACTCAATTTTCCAGTTTCGAAGTTTTTAACTTGTTTCCAACCAAAAGAAATCAGACCATGTTGCAGGTTGAGTTTAATGAAACAAAAACCTCTGTATAAAAACATTTAAACTTTATCAAATGCTTTAAAAACACACACACACAGATCCAAATCCAATACATAATCTTTGAACATTATCTTTTTTCACTTTGACATAATGTGTAAAGGGATTTCTGGATGAAACTTTACATGTGAAAAAGAAAGACCCATATTCTTACACATGTAAACACACACACAATCATTCTTTACGGAAGAACAAAAATATATAGTAAGAATGTGAATGGGACCAGAATGATTTTTTTTGTAAAGCGCAAATAAAGGATACTACACGAATAAAAGAACTTCATATACCAAGAGAAAATGCAGAGGGGAAAGGGAGGGGGTAGTCTATCTCATTAATAAATAGTTTGAGAAGGTCATCCAAGAGCAGAAAATCCCTAGTTTTCACCACCTCAAATTCCATGACCTGATAATTAATGATGCTTACAAAGCACCTGTGTTTTTTTTGTACGTACTTTTTGATTTGTTCATCGTTAATTAGGTGTGGTTTGTCCCTTTAAGTGGTTAAATACTCAGTTCTCACCCAGTGTTCTGTCCCATTCACTGGAAGAGCCACAGTAAGAAACGATGCCACGAACAGGACTGCAAGGGTGGCAGTAATGGGCAGCGATTAGTAAGACCCAGACTGACTGGGTTTGGATTTCAGCATCACTACCTGCTGGCTGCCCAGTGTTCAGCAAGCTACTTAGCCACTGCATGTCTCCATTTCCTCATCTTCAATTAAGGATCATTATTACCTACTTCACATAGGATTATTAAGAGGATTTAAACAAGATAATCCATTAAAAGAATTTATCACACTGCCTGGCACAAATGCATGCTCCATAAATGTTAGCTAAAATTACTATTAGTCACAGTATTACAGGGGAACCAAAGGAAAAATTCTAGTCTATCTCAGTATTTCTCTTTGATGAGGTTTTCGGGGGCCTACGATGGTAAAAAGCCAGTATATGTCTGATGCAAAAGAAAATGAGGATGTAGTCTTATGAATATAGATGTTCACTTTTTTATATTAGAAAAAAATTACACAGCTCCATATCACAAAATTTAACATCTTTCCATTAAACACCACACAATTCTCATCATCATTATGCTCTACATACACCCCGAATGATGAGGAGTTTCCACTGATACTCAACAACGCGGTCCAGATATTTTAACTAAGAAATAGCTGCAGAGATGCATGTTGGGCAGTAATCTGTGTGCCACAGAGCTTGGACCAACACAGATGACTGGGATTCTGCCTCCAGGGCCTGGACTCCCCCCAAGCAGTCAGATGGGTCAGGTTCCCGCAGACCTTCAAATCTCCATTTGTGATCTCTTCAAGAGGGGAGTTTCCAAGAGGCGAAGGAAGCAGCAGCCACCGAGGATGGAATGCACCACACCTACTTCAGTATAATATGATAGCTATCATTGGTTTCAGCTGTAAAACAGAAAAGAAAGAGGATAATCTTCAGTCACCTTTAAAATAGTAGAAGGGAAAAAAAATAAGAGCAGGGCAAAGAGCAGCATACATATTAATGATCACAGAATACTTATAATAAATATGCATTATAAAAACAACATGCCTCAATTTCCTCACTTGTCCATGGAAGGTGAAAGAGAATGGCAGAGAGTCACCAGTTATACTTTGTCTATTCTGATAATGACAAGAAGCCAATTTATAAAAAAGGAACAAACTCTAATAACGTCACTTTCTCTATCTCAGATACGGTGGTTGATATCTTCCCTCTCTCCTCAAAGAAGTATGAGAAAAGCTCTTAAACTCCTTAGGAAATGGTGTTTGTCTTACTATTTTATTACCTTTCATTGTGTCCAGAATAAAACAGGCTTCTTCCTGAAAGTTCTGTATCATCTGAAAAAAAACAGCAAGAAAATTTGCTGATGTGGCTTTTTCGGCCATTAGATTTAAGTGAAAAATAATCCTTTGTTTTGTTTTCACCTATTCAGTTTTTAAGTTTCTAAGTAGTCTAGCCCTGACTGGTGTGGCTCAGTTGTTTGGGCGCCTGTAAAGCAAAGCGTCACTGGTTTGATTCCTGGTCAGGGCACATGCCTGGGTTGCATGTTCAATCCCCAGTCAGGGCGTGTGCAGAAGGCAACCAATTGATTTTTCTTCCCCTCTTTTTCTCCCTCCCTCTGCCCTCTCTCGAAAATTAAATAAAATCTTTTTTCTTTAAACTAAGTATTCTAAAACAGCTGTCTTAAAATTAGAGTATGCATTTTCCTGGGTTAACCCCAATACTTTCCAAGGGGTACAAAGACACTGAGAGGCCCATACAGGAGAACTGACTTCTGGTTCTCCAACTTCTGTATCTACTTTCTCCTAAAACTGGCTGAGACTCTTCTCAGTTTTCCATTCCCACTTTCCCTTCTCAAACTCCCTTTCCCCCATTCTATAAAATAAAGGGATGAGTTTTACCCTCCTGGAATCCTAAAATGCATTGCCTTGGGGTACAGAAGCCTCCAGAACACCCAAGTGTAAATGCAAATGTAAACTCTAATGACTAAGTAACAAATTCTTTGTGGGCATCACATGGTTACCAATTTTTTCCTTTCACCAGGACTGAAGTGACCTAATCACAAATTGTCAAATGACAGATGATTCAAAATAATTCTTGACAACATCACTATGTAATTTTTGGCACATAACTCAGAAGTTCCAAAAAAAAAAAACAACAAAAAAAAACACCACTGATGTCATAGCAGAACTCAATCCATTGCTGTGAGTCAATAAATGTGAATCAGATCCACAGCACTTATATATTGAGGAAAAAAACCAGATAGAGTTGATGCTGACCTCTATTTCAGTCTACAGGCAGTATTCGCCTACAGATGAATTAACTGTGTGCAGGATAGGGGGCAGGGGATCAAACAATCCCATCCATCTCATTAATAGATGTACTTCTAATAAATTTTTTCTTAATGTTTAATCTTTACTCATCAAAACATATAATACACTGACATTGTTTTAATCAAGTGTATAATTATGGTGTTTATTCTATTCAGAAGAAGTAATTTTACTGAAACAAATTTTTGGTGAAATTTTTGTTTTAATGAAATATAGGAGAATAATTAATAAAAAATGTCCAAGTATAAAAATGTTATGGTAAGATAAAGTTCCACAGGGGAAGTGAATGGAAATATTAATTCATGGAAACAAAGAAATTATATAAAAATTCTGGCCCAGAATTTTAATGTGGCTCAATTGATTGGGCACTGTACCAAAAAACAAAGGGTCTCTGGGTTCAATTTCTGGTCAGGGCTCATGGCTGGGTTGTGGGTTCTGTCCCCAGTCGGGGTGCATCCAAGAGGCAAGGAATCGACGTTTCTCTTATACATTGATGCTTCTCTCCTTCGCTTTTTCCCTCCCTTCCACTCTTCTAAAAATAAATAAATTTAAAACAATTCTATTAAATCACTCTTGGATTTAGGTTACATGGAATACAGTTAGAATAGGGCAGCAATCATTTCAATCTTTGTAATCTTTACCTGAAGACATTTTTTTCCATTGCTGTGGTGGGGGTGGGGGGTCGGGGGGAAACATCGATTGGTTGCCTCCCATATGCTCCCGGATGGGGGACTGAACCCTCAATCTAGGCGTGTGCCCTGACCGGGAATCAACCTGGCAACTCTTCAGTTCACAGGAAGACGCTCCAACCAACTGAACCACACTGGCCACGGCAACTATTTCAATTTTAAATGTCATGTAATATGCCCAGAAGTAACGTCTTTTGCAACTTTATTTAAACTTAAGAGAAAAAATTTTAAGTCCCTGAAAATGTGCAAGTGGATACATGTTTTTTAAAAATTATTTTTTGGTGGTAAGCAAGTAAAAATGTCTGAGACCCTTTGGTCTAGAAAACAAAGCACTCTGCCTGAATAGAACTGCTCCTGCTGCTGTCACAGGGCCTGACAAATTAACTGTCATCTGGTGGTTCAGCTGTACTGAAAGTCTACCTCATCACTAATGAGCACATGGATCCCTGTTGGCCCCTGCTTGTAGATCTGGCTGATCTGGCATGGGGAAATGCTGAAAAGCTGAGCGATTTTTTCTGTCAGTTCAACAGCTGTCAGTTCTTCTAGGTAGATGGCATGGTACACTGCAAAGGAGAGAGCAATGGCAGTCAGTACAAAGTTTATCTGCTCTTAAAGGTAATATGATCAATAGGAAAACCCACATTTCTGAAGGACTTGGAGTCAAATCCTGAATTCAAATCCTGACTCAACCACTTGCTAGTGTGTGACCTGTGGCAACTTAGTTAACATCTCTTAAAGCTTCATTTTCTTCAACTAAATGTTGGAGGTGACAAAACCTACTGTAAAGAGGAGACATTAGTTGTAAAAATTAAAACATATATAAAAGTGCTGAGAGTAGTGTTTGGCATATATTAGAAACTCAGTAAATGTTAGCTATTACCACTACTTCTAGCAAATTCTAAATCTGCTGCTTGATAAATTCCTATCATACATGCTTGTGAGTCACCTCTTCGCCTTTTTTCACATCTGTCCTGGCCTGTCCAGAATGACCTACCGAAGAAAGTACCGTTTGAGTCTCCGTCCTCATGCTTCTGCTGCTGTTGCTGTTGCTGCTGCTGCTCCCTCAACTGCAAGGATTCCTGACAAACATAAATGGTTAGCCTTGGGCGCACCATCCTAAGGAGAGAAAAAGAGCTGTTAGTCTTACGTTTTTCTTGGTAGGCCATTTTAAGGGAGAACTTGTATACCTACAGTAATACTACAGAGCAAGGGTTGCAAATTGGCAGCCCCTGGGCCAATGCAGCTCGTTTGCTATGTTTTATTAGCTCCCTATTGGCTTGGGAGGGGGGGTATGTGCATTTAAGTGAATTCCTTCCAACAGAAGACATCATGTAAACCTCTGAATTTTTGGCTTTTCCTCAAAAGTCAGATCCGGCAATCCAAAGCCCTCCAAAGCCCTCCCCTTGGAGAAAGCAACCAGCCGCTCTCCTGGCTCGGGGCATGCAAACTTCAGCACAGCCCACACCCGACCGTCGCTTATCCGACTGTCGCTGCGTGTGGCCTCTGCAGTCATACGAGTTTGTGACCTCTGACGTCAAATGTTAGAATTACAGAGGTTCTTCAACTTAACAGAGGAGTTATGTCCCCATAAACCTAAGTTGAAAATATTGTAAATCGAAAATGTTTTAATACACCTAACCTGCCAAACATCATAGCTTAGCCCAGCCTACCTTAAACGTGATCAGAACACTGGCATGAGCCTAAAGCTGGGCAAAATCAGCTCACTGCCGCTGCTCGGCATTACGGAGTATTGTATCACTTATCACTAGAGCCCAGGAAAAGATCAAAATTCTAAACAGTTTCTGACTGCATATCACTATTGCACCATCATAAGACTGAACAATCTTAAGTTGAGACATCATAAATCAGGGACCCATTCTGTACTCAAAATGTACAAGCCACTGTTGTATGAGTCAGGTTCAAAATATACCTTCTTTTTCCTTAAAATAAAAAAAAAATTTACTGATTTGAGAGAGAGAGAGAGAGGGAAGGACGGAGGGATGGAGGAACATCGATGTAAGACAGAAACACTGATTGGTTGCCTCTCATAGGAGCCCTGATCAGGGATCGAACCCACAACCTAGGTATATGCCCAGACTGGGAATTGAACCCTCAAACTTTTGGTGTATGGGACGATACTCCAACCAATTGAGCCACACTGGCCAGGACTCAAGATACGCTTTTTATTTAAAAGTACCAATATTGTGAACTGGAGGATCTGATTTCCCTCATTACTTTCTCCTAAATAGCTTAAGCCTTCTTTTTCTTCTTACTTTGATAATTGTATTCTATTACCTCTTGATCTGATTACCTTATGACTCCCTATTTCCAAATGCTCTTTAGATAATACATATAAAAATGAAAGATCCAGCCCTGGCTGGTGTGGCTTAGTGGATTGAGTGCCAGCCTGCAAACCAAAAGGTCGCTGGTTCGATTCCCAGTCAGGATACAGATCTGGGTTGTGGGCCAGGTCTCCAGCTGGGGGCATGTGAGAGGCAATCGATTGATGTATCTCTTGCACATCACTGTTTCTTTCCCTCTCTTTCTCCTGCCCCTCCCCTCTCTCTAAGAATAAAAAATAAAATCTTTAAAAAAAATTAAAGATCCACTCTTTTTTTCTACGTCATTAACCCTTGAATTTCACCTCTTAAAATTTTCCAAGATTATAGCCCACCTAATAACTCGTGATGTTCACAAACACAAACAGTTCACCATCTGTTTCATTATTTAGTCACTGATTTGGCTCTATGGCATTAACTTGTGTGTGTTTTCCCCATCAATATTACTAGTACCTGCTGGAATTGGAAATCATAAATTGGGACTACAAATTATTATCTGTATTATAAATAATATTTGTAAGCAGAGACTTAAGCAATTCCTACCCAAACTTAAGAATGATCTCTTCTCTAGCTAAAACTGAATTCAGGGCCTTTACATCTGTTGTTCCTTCTGCCTAGAAGGCTCTTCCCTTGTATGACCTCATAGCTTACAGTCTTCCCACAGCTCAGTTTAAATGATCACTTACCCAGAAAGATCTCTCCTAACAAATTCTGAGTACTCTAGAGGTTACAACCTTGTTTTTGTTTTGTTTTCCTTCAAAGTACTATCACTATCCAAAATACTGTTTATATCTTTCTCTCTTCCCATTAGAAAGTAGTCTCCATAACAGGTACCCTGCCTATTTCGCTCACCAATGTATCCCTACAACCTAATGGCTCATAATAGGAACAATGAATATTTACTAAATGAAAGAACTACCTGGAAATAAAAAATGGGATATCATGAGGAATTCTTTGAATCATGTGTGAGAAAGGATATTTTTCATCTTTATTTGGTACATAGCTAGCATTCAAAAAGAATGTTTTGACAACATGTATTTAGCTGTGCAATGAGTATTGTGAAGAGTTCCTGAATCCAAATCCATTTGAAATCCAACCTCACTGATATTTTAACACTAATCACATACCGGCCTTTTAATGCATTAAAAAGTCTGATTCCATCTGCAGGGCCACATATTTGGATCACATCATCTCTAGTTAGTTTCAATAAATCTGCCCCTGAAATAAACATGAGAAAATGGGTGATAGAGGCAAAGATTCTTTTTTGTTAATGACTATTAAAATGGGCTCTGTTACAAGGACACTTCATTACTACTGTGTTACAATCCTCTTACATGGTTTACAAGGTCCTCCATGACCTGGCCCCTGCTTCCTCTCCCACTTCAATTCCCTCCACTGGTTTCATGATACTGATGACGTCTAATGAGAAGTTGTTCCTCTCCTGCCTGAAATATCCTTCCGCTGTTTGACCAAGACTCCTCCTCATCTTTCATGCATCACACATGTTCCTTAATCCCACACCCTCCCTTAAATGCCTAAATTTATATCTACTACATCACAACTACTTATTTACACTTTTTTTGCAAGGGAGGGGGAGTATGTTGATTTGATTTTTTGATAATAGATGATAAATGATCAGGAACTATACCTTATCCATTTGAGTATTCCTACCATAGCTGCTTACCGTGAAGGTGTTAAATAAAAGTGGAATGTGCAAAGAAAATACAATATAGTGGCATCAAGAAGAAAATTTCAGACTACTTGCAAATGCTCCTTGATACAATATTATATAGAACATACATTTTTAAAGCTTCATAAAGAATAAATATTTTAAAATTAAAATAAATTCAAACTAAGAGGTCTTTCTTTATAGGTATTTCATAGCGTGCGTGCGCGCACACACCCACAACACACCCCACACACACCCTCACATGGATACCAGGAGGCTCTAGAATGTAAAAGAATATCCCAAGCTAGGGAAAACAAAAGGATAAGCAAATTTAACCTGAGAAGTTTGTAAAAAGCCTTGTGAATGTAGAAAACCGGTTTCGATGCAACCACTGCTGAGCTTCCTGAGGTGTGGTTGTTGGCAAGAGGTTCTGAAAGAGAAAAAGCAATTTTCCTGGGTAACTAAATAGATTTAACTTAAAAAAAAAGTAAATGGTACATTATTAGGTTAAGAAGTAGCCAAATACACCCACACTCAGACAGGCCTGGTTTGCTTGTAAGTTGTTTATATATTATTATTATTATTCTTTCTCTAACCATGCAAGATACCCTTGGATTTTTCCATCCCTATCTTCCCCCACTAGATTGTAAATTCTCTAAATACTAGGGTCCTGTGTTACTTGTTTTATATATCCAGTCTGTAGCATAGTATCTGGTTCACAGTCAAAATTCAATAAATATTTAAAGAACAAATGAATACACCTTAGAAGCTGGGCACTTGTACTGAACCGCACAGTCATCAAAGTATTATTAGACATTGCAAATAACTGACATTTAACTTCGGACTTACATCTGTGACTGGAGGGGGCGGCTCTGGCTGGTGGTTCGGTGAACCATTTCTAAAGAAACATTTATAACGAAAGGGTGAGTCCGTGACACACACTAGGGTTCATCATCTCATTCTTGACTCTCGTAAGCCCTAAGCTAGAGATTTAAAGGAATCTGTGCTCTCTCATAACACATTTTTACTCTTGGACCCAATGCTTCTATTATCTGTTAATTTATCGTAAAGACTTTTTTAGGGGGTGAGGGAAGAGAAACTATGTCATTTGCAATATTTTTTAGTGGAGAAATTTAAAAAAAATCAAGATTCCAGTATATTGGGACTGATTAGATAAATAATGGCATAACCATTTTACATAAACTTATAAGAATGTAAACTAAATATCAGAATATAGAAATAATCAATATATTACCACTGCATTAAATATATATGTACAAACATATACAGAAAAAAATATTAGAATAAAATTTATGAAATGCAATGTGATCACACAATTTTTATAATTTGAAACAATTATTTTAAAGCAGCTTCAAAAATTAGTGTTATCTAATTTGTAATCCAAGGGCTATTTACACACACTTGGTTTTTCCCTGTACTCCCGTTTGCTTTACAGATTGCCCCTCTTGCCTAATATTTACTTCTTTTATGAGAGGAACGTGACCCTAATAGTGAATATATAAGAGAGAGGAAAAAGACCTCTTAAGTCCTATATATTTTAAATTGCTTGTAAATAGACTGAATAGTCCACATGGGTAAGTAAGAGATTTTTCTTTCAAAAAGATCTTTTTCTTTACTTTTGCCTTAATTGCAAAATTCAAATTCAGTATTCAAATTTAGTGATTAACTTATCTCAAGGCCCTAGTTATCTTTCTACCACTTCTACCTATTTTTATTCTTAATTGTTACATTTTGAATATTTAAGCCACTTTAATTAAATACTTTCAGAAGTAGTTTGAACACAGAACCTAAATAAATAAAAAAAAAACATCACAACCAAACAATATAGTCACACATTTCATAGCCTATTTGAAATATCAAAATGGCCTATGTGGAATACATGCTAAATGCTAGGGAGATTAGACATTCTTTAGCTGTCATGTCCAACCTTCTTCCCCTGATTAGCAAAGATTCATGGTAATTTTAGGATCATTCTTAATAATCAGCAAAACAGATATTAGTATTTGTACATGTGTCTCAATTCCTGATGACCACTATGTGGTGAGAGTATGATCAGGAAGGGAAATAACCACAAGGACGCAGTAATAGGGAGAAGTGAAAAGCCCAGAAAATCACCCCCGAATCACTAAAAACTGACCATAAATATGATTTTCTAATGGGAGGAAAAAAGAAGAGAAGGGGCTATATAAAACTCTTTCAGTCTCTTGCAAGTTGATCAAAACTGACACAATTTGAGCTTGCTATTGTAACAAAGTCTAACCTATTCAGGTGCTCTCTCCTCTATGGGACAAGCTATACTATGAGAAAATCATATAGACTTGGACAGTAAAACACAAAACAGAAACTTCTTTCAGTTTCTTTCGAAGGTTATCCAAACCTCATAAATCTATCAAAGACTAACCAATAGAACTACTTATTGATTAGGAAAGGTCTCGTTTATAGAATGATAATTTAAAAATACACATTTATGCCCTCGCTGGTGTGGCCTAGTGGATTGAGCGCTGGCCTGTGAACCAAAAAAAGGTCGCTGGTTCAATTCCCGGTCAGGGCACATGCCTGGGTTGCAGGCCAGGTTCCCAGTTGGGGGTGTGTGGGAGGCAACCAACTGATGTCTCTCTCCCTCTCTCTAAATAAATAAATAAATAAATAAATTTTAAAAGACCAAAACCAAAAACACACAAGGACAAACACAAGCCAACTTCATTTCCCAGACTTACCCTTCCCCAAGAGAAAAACTGCTGTGGGAACTGTTGAAGCCAGGTGATGGGGAATTATTGACATATGTGATTTCGGGCCACGGAGAACACTAAAACAAAGGACAACTTAGATACTTAAAAGTATAATTGATCCTAGTGTTCCACAAAACATTGTTACTTGAACAGCTCATCTTGATTGGTAAATTTTAATTCCTCTGAGTCCCTGTAACTAAGCGGACAAGTAAGTTTTGACCAGCTGGGAAGCCATTTTTTAGAAACTGAAATATAAATGACATGACATTAGTTTTAGGTAAATTAGAATATAATGATTTGATACATGTATATACTGTAAAATGATTGGATTTTTCTTCAGAGTAATAACTACTGACTGAAATTGTCACCAAAGAAATCCTTTTACCTCTGTGAGAATAGTTGTCTCATAGGAAGGCTGATATTTCTCCTTTTCATGAGGTGTCCGTTTCTCCATTTTCTCCCTATCTGTTTTTTGCTTTCTGTCTGCACCTTTGGGCTAAAATGAGAAATACTTTGTTTTAAACTCACCCATTAACTCAACAATGTTACTTGTAAAAACGTAAATAGTCACAAGTAAAACAAAGATATATTACAACAATACAAAGATAAACCACATCATTGCGCATAAGTCTGAAAATAGGAAATTTAAATGTTTGATGGAGTTAGAAAAGAATGAGATCTATAATTACAGGCATGGAAAGATCTCTAAAGCACATAGAAAAAAACAAGACTCAAAGCAGTTCATACTGTATAATCCCATTTATGTTTGAAAGAAAATATGTGTATACCTATGTACAGTGCATATAAAAGCACAGAAGGGGACTGGAGGGACACACACGCACTCTAAGCTGTGACAGTGGTTACCTCTGTCGGGCAGTCAGGGTAAGAGCGGTAGAAGGGGAACGCCGGTTTTATACTGTGCGTGCTTTTGTATTAATGAATCTTTTGCAATGAGAACATATCTATACATGTGACAAAAATAAAGACCAAAATAAGGAAAGATCAAGTACGAATGTAACCAAAACTGTCAAGTTTTCATAACTCGGTGAGCTTTTAGAAGAGCTTGTAACTTCAAGAGACTTTAAGAGCATTCAAACAAAGTCCTTGAGTTTTCTTAGTTTTTAAGAAAAGACAAGTTGACTTTTTGACTTGGCGACTAAATGTTAACAACTGAAAGATGAGGAAAGTAGTTTCCAAGAGCCACCACAATGCCCGGGAATACCTTGAAGACTTTGATCTGGCAGCTGGCTGAGTGCAAGTGCTCAGTATATTCCCCGTTCTCATTCTCCTTGAAGGTATCGATTTGCACCCGGAACGGCACTCCCTTTTCTCCGCCATGCTTCCTCATGGTGAACTCGGTGCTGATGCAGTGCACCTGCGGAGGATACAACAGCCAGGGTTCAGTCCTGCCACTAGACAAACCAGTGAACAACATTTTTTGAGCAACTACTAACAGTAAAACCTTTAAAAAGCATAATGAACACCTACCAGGAAAACTTTTACTGTTTTTATCTTGAATAATTTACACTCTAATGGTGGAACTGAGGAAAACGTAAATGATTTACAAATGCAAACAAAGTAAACATACAGACCCAACATTTACAAAAACTGTGAGGAGTTACATTCATTAACTGCTTCAGAGAATACAGAGTTAACATGGAAGAGAAATGATTTCTATCAGTAAAAGTTTCCTGGACTTCTAGATAGATTTTACAAAATGGAGGCACCATCCATGCTGGGAAAATGGTAAATATGAAAGCTGGCAACCAGGGGAAAAATGGTTTGTTTGGCTACTGCATAGTGTGTACGACCTTGGTGAACACGAACAGTGGAACCCTGATTGACCAAATACTAGCGTGGGTAAGCTGTCATCTTCTCTAAGCCCCAAGGACTATTCCGACTCCACAGGATTATTGGTGAAAATCTTAAATAAAATCATGTGTACAAAGTGTTATACTTAACACAGTAACTATCTCATGGGAGCTACTCAATAAACAAACTAATAGTTCTCATTATCACAAATAAGAATTTTCAAGGAATCTACCCGAAGAAGATAATCAGATATGCAAATCAAATTTTAAGTATAAAGATGTTCAAAATAACTTTATGGATAATAGTGAAAAATTAGGACAATCCCAATAGTAAATAATTGTTAGATAAGTTCTGATACATCCAGAACAAAATACAGGGTGGGGCAAAAGTAGGTTTACAGTTCTGAGTATGAAAAACAGAGTTTATTCTTGTATTATTAATTTATTAATTATTGTATTATTTTCCACATGTACAACTGTAAACCTACTTTTGCCTCACCCTGTATTATGCAGCTGTCAGTAAGCACCAGGGGAGAAACAAATAAATAAATTGGAAAAATCAGAAGAGCAATTCAGAAATTCCTTATTGCTTTCAGGAACATGTTGAGTATCAGGAGTTTGCACTTGATACTCAGACTGGAACCCTCCAACTCAACATGTTTTTTTCCTTTAAGAAACAAATTGGTAGTAAGAATGCTCTTCATAACTGGAACCCCATTTGCAATGCCTTACCTGAATAAATACAGATGTCCTCTTTGAAGGATCCCACAGGAACTCCACTGTATTTAGTTGGTTTGGATTAGCCCTAGGATCAATTATACCCACAGACATTGGGATATCTGAAAAACAGATGGTAATGATTTGACAATTTTGAGTGCTACTGGGCGAAAAAGCACTGATTCTTGTATAAGTATTATTGTTTCCTAGTTACCAACATTTTTGTGTAAACCTCTTTTTGCCAGTGAAAAGGGTTTAGCGTTATTTGTGCTAAAAATGACAAAGGTACTTTCCTTCTGAGTATCTTTTATCCACTTGAAAAAGTTTTTAAAAAAATGAGACAATTTAAAAGCAGTTTCCTTTACATTTTCTAAAATTCTACGTAAGATGGATTTACTCTACACACTAGCTCTAGTGCCATGAAAATTGTAACTTACAATCTGTTTTACTTAGTTTTAAGATTAGCATTACTGCCAGAAGTAAACTAAAAGCATTGCTACAGAAGGATAAAGCGCAGTATCTGAATAAAGGCGGAAGACACTGTATCACAGACAAGTGGAAAAGTCATCAAATAATCCTGTAACAGACTGACACATCCTACACTCAAGAGGTAAGTAAAAGGAATGAGCTTTAGCAGAACTGTGTTTTCCATTCTGAATAGCGTATAATCAAATATCATTCCCTGACTTCTCCTATTAATATTCAAGCTAGGAGATAACACCAGGCTAATATTTATTATCATAACTGTGCAATAACTATACTGTTTTAATATCAATGATTCAAACAAGAAAGCATTAAGTGGGTCCTACTCCACTGTTACAGTTGTGCTGGCTTCATCCTAAAGCTGATTTTAATATATGGATATCAGGATATCAGTATGAAATCCAGTGTTTTCTCAGGTAAAACTAATAGTACCCCAATTTCACTGTGTTTACAAATAGGAGACAATAACAAATAAGAGATCGGTACACAGATGCTGGGATTCAAAGTACGTTTATGAGGAAAGATTGTGTGTGTGTTTGTAAAGATCTTTCTTTTATGTGCCATTATTTAAGAAAAACAAATTTTACTCTGTGCAGCAAAGTAGAAAAACCTAACTGCAAACCAAGAGACACAGATTCTAATCCAGGCCTCTTACTTTAGGTAAGACAAAGCACTAATCTAGCTCTCAGGTATTAGTAAAGTAAAAGACCTGACAAAATTTAGGGGGGAAACTTGGTCCCTTTTTATCAGACTCTGAATAGCCAAAACAATCTTGAAAAATAACAAAATTGGAGGTCTCACACTTTGATTTCAAGACTTGTTACAAAGTTACAGTTATCACAAATAGTGTGGTACTAGCATAAAGATGGACATATGGACAGATGGAACAAAACAGAGAGCCCAGAAACAAACCTTCAAATACATGGTAAAAAGATTTTAGACAAGGGTGACAAGGCCATTCAATGGCAATGGACAGTCTTTTCAACAAATGGTGTTGGATCCCTGTCTGCTTTCGTTCAGTGGCCTGGGCATCATCCCGTGGACCAAAAGGTCACCAGATCCATTCCTGGTCGGGCACATGCCTGGATTGTGGGCAGGGTCCTGGTTGGAGGTGTGTGAGAGAAAACCGACCTACTGATGTTTCTCTCCCTCTCTTCCTCCCTCCCTTCCCCTTTCTCTAAGAATAAATAAATAAAATCTTTAAAAAACAAAAAAGGTGTGAGAGATACTGGATACCCATATGTAAGGAATGAAGGACCCTTACTTTACATTATATACAAAAATTAACTTAGAAAATGGATGTACATCTAAACCTTATGCTACAAAACTCTTAGAAAACATACCAGGAAAAATTTCATGACACTGCATTTTGCAATGAATTCTTAGATGTGACGCCAAAAGCACAGCCAATTAAAACAAACATACCAGACTACATCAAAATGTAAAACTTTTGTCTATCAAAGGACACTGTCACCACAGTGAAAAGACAACCTACACAGAATGGGAGAAAATATTGCAAATCATTTCTCTAATATGGGGTTAACATCCGGAGTATATTTAAAAAACTCCTGTAATACAACAACAACAACAACAGCAACAACAAACACCCAGATTCAAAAATGGGCAAAGGACTAGAATATACATTTCTCCAAAGAAGATATACAAATGGTCAATAAGCACATGGAAAGATACCCAACATCACTAATCATTAGAGAAATGTAAATCAAAATCACAATGAGATACTATTCCATATCCATTAGGATGGCTACTTAAAAAAACAAAACAAAACAAGTGTTGGTGAGGAAGTAGGATAATTAGAACCATGTGCATTCTGACAGGAACATAAAATGTGCAGCCATCGTGGAAAACAGTACGGTGGTTACAAAAAAAAAAGTAAAAGCAGAGCCTGAAATAATTACTTGTACACCCATGTTCATAGTAGCATTATTCATTTGCAATAGTCAAAAGGTGGAATCAACCCAAGCATCTCGAGGGGTAAGTGGAAAAACAAAGTGTGGTATCTATACACAACGGAATACTATTCAGTTATTAAAAGGAAGGAAATCCTGACACATGCAATTACATTAATAAACCTGAAGATTATGCTACATGAAATAAGCCAATCACAAAAAGATAAATGCTGGATAATTTAACTTATTAAAAATAGTTAAAATGTTATATATATTTTACCACACCTAAATTAAAAAAAACAAAACATAAAAATCACACTGAAGTAATAGATATGATTGTTAGAAAACTGAAGTATCTAATAATATCTACACTTTCCAACTTTTGTTATCATCATACCAATAATTTTTTTATACTTAGGCAATAACCACTTCCAATTCATGCTGAGCCTCTAAAGCATTTTGATTCAAAATAAACATCAAGTAAAGAACACCAATTCTCAGACATTTCCTAGGCAACAGATTCTCTTAACTCACCTATGTCAAGAATTCTATCTCCAGGTCGGTTCCACCTCCAGCCCTCTAGCTGCTGGTGTTCAGTGTATTGTAGCCGTCTGTCATGGAACACTACACGGAAAATACTCTAAAAGGAAGCAACAAAATCAAATGATCCCTTAAAGATCAGAGCTGACAAGCCAAAAATTGCAGTAGTCACCCCAAGTTGGTTTCTAGATACGCCTAAAATTGTTTTTCTTAAAACCTATATCACTCTATTATTTATTTACTTATTTTTATTGATTTGAGAGGAAAGGAGGGAGAGAGGAAAAGAGAAGGAGAAATACTGATTTGTTGTTTCACTTATTTATGCATTCATTGCTTGTTTCCTGTATGTGCCCTGACCCGGGATTGAACCCACAACCTTAGAGAACTGGGAAAACACTCTAACCAACTGAGTTACCCAGCCAGGGCAAGGCCTATTTTACTCTAAAACCCATATCATACCAGCTCTATTTTAAGGTAAATTTTAAAATTGCTCAGATATAATCTTTATAGTTTGACTGGCACCATATTTGGCTGAAACATCAGTCCTTGTGGTAACTAAACATAAAAGACCCCTATCAGAAGCATCTCTACGTGCCCCTATCGTTACCATGCAATCAATGTTCAGCTTGGCTCTTCAGACGTATACGGAAAACTCACCAAGTCCTCTGCTTGCTAACCCACCATATAAACTGGCAACACTGAGAGTAGGTAGAGGTTGTTTCCATGAACTTTCTTTTTATTCCTCTTACTTTGCAGAGATGCCTATTAATAATATCCTTCTTACCACCTTTTATAGCCACTGATAACTCCTTTGTACCAACTGTACTGTGAGCTCATTGCCATCAGTCTAGACAAAGGAAATTGCTATTCATCAACACTAGTTTCTGTTTTCCTTGCTACTAGACCAAGTATTCAAAAAGACACTGGAGCTTCTCTAAAGATCTCAAGAAGGTTACTTTATTCCACCCAAAAAGAATTTCACTGAGCCAGGAGACTATCCTGACACAGAGTGAAAAGTCTTCTCTTTCTGTAGCTTTAAAAAGTCCATGTGAATGGGGAGCTCACTCTGACTCTCCAAAACTATTAACAACAGTTTACCACTCTGCCAGAAAATTGTATCAGATAAGATATCACCAAGCCCTTTACAGAAGCAAAAGAATATTATAAAGAATCAGTAAAAGGATGTTTAGAAGAATGATTGACTCGTTTTCTTTTACCTTCACCAATTTGCCATTAATTTCTGGAAGTTCTCCAAGCTTCCTATTGTCTAGCATTCGGATTTCATAAGACTGTCCTGGAAGAAAAAGTAACCATGTATTATATTCATCATAATTAACTTTCCAAAATTCAGAAACAAAAATTCATCTGGAAGGGGAGTTTCTGTGTGGTTTGTTGTGGCAGCACCAAGGTGAATTTTAGGAGCAATGTTCCCGAAGATTCTAAGTATGGGGCCACCGTGCTTCGTCAGACAGGCTGAGGGGCTTGAGTCCTGGGGGTCGGGGAAAGAGCTGTCAGGCACACCCAGGCATTCACCCTCAGGCAGGTGGCTCAGGGAAACGGACGGTGTGTGGTGGGCCCCAGGGCACCCAGGAGGGACTTGGAACCCATGCGCCGTAAGAGGAGTAAGATGAGAAACCCCTTACTCCCATGACATGGCAGGCTGTGGCACACTTCCCCCCCCCTAACAGTTTACCTGCAGGTAGACTGAGGGGCCCAGAGGTAACCCACGTGTCTAGAATCAGCTTGGAGTCGGAACAGCTAGAAAACGGCCCAGGTATAGATATGTATGTGTGCCACTGCCCTTGCAATACCATGAGAAGTATTCATCTTTCAGACAGTCATGACTTGGGATTACTGAATGATTAAAGACCCCTCTTTCTCCCCAATCCTACCCCCAGAGAAGGCATTTCTGCAACCTTTTTGGAGCTTTGAAAGTGATGTTAGATTCTGCGTGGGATAAAAAGCAGATGAGGTTTGTCCAGAAGGTATCCAGCCATGTAATATGAAAAATAGAGACATTTATTGAAGAAGATACAAGAAACATTGTACATAGGACAGTGATGCCTCAGTTCCCTTCAACGTAGGCACCTTGGGGCCTCACACAGTTCTTCCAAATCTCCATCAGCTGCCCCGTTGCATATTCCTGAATCTCATCGATGGTCTGAAATCTCTTCCCTTTCAAAGGTGATTTTAGTTTAGGGAAAAACCAGAAGTTGCATGGCATCAAATCTGGGCTGTAGGGGGGCTGAGTCACCAGGGAGATTTGATGTTTCACCAAAAAACTGCACAAGACATGATGCATGATCAGTGCATTGTTATGATGAAGCTGCCGATCACCAGCTGCCCATAGCTGCGGCCCTCTGAATCATCTGAATAGTTTCCATGGAGGAAATGGTCAAGATTAACACAAAATTGGATGCAGGCTCTAACACAGTCAATCATTTTGAATGCAACGACCACACAGTACACATGTTTACTCAACAGAGTCTACCACTCTCACTGACTAGTACAGTGAAGTCACCATGGTTCACACATGCACATTCCAGTCCACTCTCCTTGGCTGACAGGTTACATCAACGTCACACATACTATTCTTGTAATATTAACAATGGCTGAACTTTTCCTGGACAGATGTTATACATAAGCCCTGGTCCTTTTCCTCAGGAGTTCAATGTAGCTGGAAGCCAAACTATTCCCTGGGTTTAAAACGCAGCTCTGCCCTGGCTGGTGTGGCTCAGTGGATTAAGCACTGGCCTACTAACCAAAATTTTGCTTGTTTGTTTCCTGGTCAGGGCACATGCCTGGGTTGCAGGCCAGGTCCCACCCAGCTGGAGATGTGTGAGAGGTAACTGACTGATGGTTTTCTCCCTCTCTTTCTCTCTGCCTTAAAAATAAATTAATAAATGAAATATTTTATAAAACCCGATTCTTGTATTGTATAACCTTTTCAAGTTAATCTTTTCCTCATCCACTAAGTGGGAAAACTATTTAGTAATTCATCTCAAAGGACTGTAAGAGGAAAAAAACCTTAATACATATAAAGCATGTAAAGCAATACCTGGCACTCAATGGCTCAACGTATGTCAGCTGCCATCATTATCACTATATTGCCAACATCATCTACAAGTGACACATTGTAGAAAGAAGTTTTCAAATCACTTAAGGATAGAGTAAAAATTAGCGAAAACCCTGTCTATCTTAGAAGAGTAGAGGTAGAATCTCAGGAAAATTTGCATCCCCCTACAATGTCTTCTTATTGGATGTATGACAGATAGTTGTTAAATGCAGGAGTATTTGTAAATTGCCTCAGGGGCAAAAAATAAAATAAAATAAAATTTAGTTGGTTGAATATACAAAAGTATAGTATTAGTATTAATAAAAACAACTATAGTCCTTTACTATATGCTAGGCACAGTGCTAAGTGTATTCACACATTATACCATGTAATTGATACAACTCTCTAAGGTATTATCAATCCCATTTTTAAAGATAAGGAAACTGAAACATAAAGAGTTTAAGCAACATGTCTAAGGTCACGCAACTGATAAACAATAATGCTAGGTAAGGTAATTCTTCTCAGACAGTAACCATGTCCAGGGAACATGATTAGAAAAAAAAGAGGGAGATGGGAACTAAAAATGGGCAGGAAGAAAAAAGAAGCCAAAAATATGGTATATATCACACATGACATTAAAACTCAAATATCTGAAGTAAACTTTTGACTTTGACAGGTCACACTAGAAAGATGTACTTTTTATACAAAGTGTACCTAATTAAATATCATGAATCCAGCAGGTCTGCGATAATACTAATGAGTAAGGATGCATCTAACCTTGATTGAGATATGTCAGGGTTTCATCGTGCAGTTTCACTGCTGGAGAAGTGGCAGCACAAAGCACATATTGAAAAGGCAGGATTTTATTCTCATTATCAGGAGGCAAGCTTGACTCTTCTTGCTTAAAAATGGGCAATGCGAGGACATCACTGAAATAAAACAAATGACTCTCATTAACATCTGACAAAGGTGCAAGAACAGATTTATTGTTGAAGCAATTTTACTGCAATTTGCTTTGTAAAACCATAAACACTACTACCTTCTGTGGAGTTTCTTCCCAACCATACAGTTCAGATTGCCTTCTATGACATCCCCCTGACAATAACAGTGTGAGCAATAACAGATACTCACTATTAAAACTACCTGAGTGTCCAAAGACTGCATTTCTAGGAAACACAGGTATTCCTCAAAGGGCTCTGAAAATTCTATGTAGAGTTCCAAAATCTCAAATTTAGGACACTCGGTAATATATTTGTTCTCAGAAAGGTACCAACTACAGTATCTTTCTAGAACGGCACCCTCCTCACCCACGGTTTCTCCCATGGTTTCAGTCACCTGCAGTCTGAAAATATTAAATGGAAAATGGCAGAAATAAACAATTCCTAATTTTAGGCCGCACACACCTCTGAGCGGTGCGATGAAATCTCATGCTGTCCTGCTCTGTCTCACCCAGGACGTGAATCAGCCCTTTGTCCAGCCTGAACTCCGTATATGTTCCCCACCTGTTAGTCACTTAGCAGCACGGTCAGTTATCAGATATTTAGAGGGAAAGCAAGAGTATGAGAGCCCACGCCCACACGAACACACACACTCACAGAGCTTTTGTTACAGTGTAATAAAACACGTTAGTCTTTGGGAGACTTTGTTGCCATTCCATTCTTAAGTATATCACACCTGATGATTCCTTGAAGGATTAGTGAAGATTACCAGGAATCAAGGCAAATCGGATTTTGCAACATAGCAACAACTCAACCTTTAGGAATGTAGGGTGTTTTTTTCCTTCTCAAATTTCAGTGCCTAGCAAGGTTAATATACAGCAACAGTTCCCAGTCTTAATAAAATGTGGCATTACACCTAACTCCTTATGACTAAGCAAAGGACTATAATTTGAGGCTGGAATTCTAAAATTGATTCAAAAGTTACCCCTAAAATTAACTCAAAATAGTACAGCCAAACCAAACACACAAGACTATATTTTCTCATCAGAGATTGCAAGATCTAAAAACCTCAAATATATCTGAATTACTCATGTTCTTGGTACACTGAATTTTTTTTACTCAGCTGTGGGAACAAGAGTACCATTCAGTTCCACATTCCTAGAGGTGGAGGCTAAAGGTCACTGATAACTACTATTGGAGGCCCCAGCTTATACCAAAACAGTAACAAATTCAACAAGAAACAATTTTGGAAATAGAGAGATGTCTGCTCCTCTGAGGCAAGTTGAGCGCAGGTTAGGAAAACTCATTCTGGTGGACTCTAAGTAGTTGCTACCAATGTGTAACTTGGCATTTTATTATATTCTCTGATTGCTTCATGTATTTAATTCAATCAATAAAACATAAGCTGTGTGAAGGAATAACTCCTCTTTTATGTGTTTAGTAAATATTTTTGGTATGATATATATTTTTGTTTGTTTGCATTATCCCAAATACTTAGCTCTAGTATATTATGATCATTTTGGAATTCTCAGCATCTTATAGTATCTCTGATCAAAGATAAGGATATGGAAATTTTACCTGTTAAAAATAGTATGTTGAGTATATTTTTTAACTATGCATCGCCAAGTAGAAATCAACACCGGAGAGTGGAGGCATAACAGTATCAGGAGCGATCTTCACTATTGGTACCTGGGATTCTCTGAAGAACTGCTTTGTCGTCCTCAGAGATATACATTTCCGTATTTTGCCATGTATAATGTGCACCCACATTTTTAGCCCAATCTTTCAGGAAAAAACATTGTCTTCAGTTTTTAATTCAATTATTTACTTATAGATAGATGCTTTTTATTAGAAAGGAAGTTTAGCATTTATTTTTGCTAAATATATGGTATAAGAAATTTTATCTAACAAATATTTACAAAACATTAAGAGCAGATACAAGGTACAAGAATCAGTCTTACTCTGTGGATAACAGTATGTCACTTTCATTTTGTTGAATTGTTGTCTGAAACTGCTTTTGTTGCAGGTTCGTAGTATGTTCAACAAAACTGATTATCATATTCTAGGGTATTATTTTGCATATGAATATTGTTATTGCTTTCTATAATTATACTTTTAATGCATAAGATTAAATGAAAAAATTAAAAACATTTATATAGATATGGGATTACTACTACCCATGTATAATGCATTCTTATTTTCCCCTCAAAAATGTGGGCAAAAAAGTACGCCACATATATATATAACAAAATACGGTACCCTTTTGAGATAGAGCAGCCTCTGAATGGTCTCTAGCAATTCACGACAATGGTTTAACCTTCTCCCTCAGGTCTACCAGCTGTTGAATGCTCTTTTCTAGAAAGAAGCCTAGATCATAGAGAGGGAGGTTAGATGAGTTCTATCTTGAGTAAGAGAAGCAAGGAGACAGGCATCCACAGCATCTAAAGAAATTAGAAACTAACTTGGGACAATAAGATGTCACACTCTTATAACTTCCCTATTTATCACCCTCATTTAGACTCCATCGTGATGGAAACAAAAAAATTTGAAAAACATGCCAATACCTCCATGTTATAAGCATAAAAGGGCAATAAATGAAGAAACTCCATCCTACCCTGAGGTAAGCTTCAAAAGAAAAAAGTATTCAGTAACTAACTGTTCATAACACCTTTAAAGAGGAGAGAAAAGTGGACTGATTTCCTTGGGTTTGTGGGCAGATCAGAGAGGAGACCTGACAAAGAGAGGAGATGGCCCTGCAGGTTTTAATGTGAAGCCAGTGAGATGTCCTGACTACTGAGTAATGGGGAAATTGCCTTAATTTCTTGTTAGAAGCCTTCTGTCTCAAAGTGATAAAAGGTTTCTGCTACCTGAACATCTAATGAAAAACCTCATTCAACTAAGAAGCAACCAGATAACTTAAAATTATTCTATCACCCAGAAGGCATAAGAAATGAGTAGAATTATAATTTAAACCTAATTTGACCAAGAAGAACTCATCAGAAAAGAGGAAGTGGTGGGAGCCTCAAAAGAAAGCAACCAAGCCAAACAGACAGGAAGAAGAACAAGGAACACATCAGATATGATTCCTAGACTCTTAAGAGAACAGGCTTCAAACAGTGAAGACAGGACCCAAACCCACGGGTCTGAGGTGCTAAAGGGGAAGACAAAAAAATTGAGGTTCTCAAAAACGAAATTCTGCTAATTTCACATTATCTGACATAAAGGGGGAAGAAGAGTGGAGGTATCTAAATAGATGAAAAGCTCACCGATCAACTCCAAATTAGAAAAATATGCACAAGAAAAATACATATAAAAGGAAAGAAACTTTTTTTTAAAGATTTTATTTTTAGGCAGAGAGGAAGGGAGAAAGAGAGGGAGAGAAACATCAATGTGTGGTTGCCTCTAGCACACCCCCCCACTGGGGACTTGGCCTGCAACCCAGGCATATGCCCTGACTGGGAATTGAACTAGCGACCCTTTGGGTTGCATACCAGTGCTCAATCCACTGAGCCACACCAGCCAGGGCAGAAACTTTTTTAAAAAAAAAATGTAGCACCAATATCTAGAAGCAAGCTTGAGCTGAAGCCCAGAATGTGCTGAGACTTGCAAAAAGGTAAGGGAGGCACAGTTCCACTCTTCAATGTAAATGGCATATCACTAATATGAGCTGAGGCAGAACATCTCAATTTCAGTTTTTCTTCTATCTTCCCTGTAAAGAGAAAACATTTTGAAAGTAGAGAGAGAAGACCAAATATGGGGAAAGCAGATTAATGTCCAAGATAAATAAAGGAACTATCGAAAAGTGAAGGAATGAAATTAATACACCTGGATGAAATTATATACCAGGAGAATTAAAGAATGTACAGTTGAGATCCAAGAGTGACACTCTGTAAACTCAGACATATCTCATGATTCTGATAATGCCAAATGTCACATTAGCTTTTTATTTCTGTGGTGCCTATTTTCAAAATGGGAGAGTATATTCTCCATACCTTACACCAGAGTGATCTGACATGAAATCTGGGCAAGACTGTACAGCATACAGCAGGTTATGAAAAGAATAGTTTGATAAAAAAATAAATAAAAATAAAATAATAGTTTGAGTATTTTAGGCAGGGCATCAGGGATCACTAGGAGCCATAACCAAACTAACTCATTTTCCTTTTTTTTATATGATTTGACCAAGGAATGCTGGAAGCATAAATGTTTCCAGATTTTAGCAATGTATAAAATGAAGTCTCTCTTGATACCTCTGTTCAAGGTGAAACAATATGAATTTTGCTACAGTTAAGTGGCTTTACAGATATACAACTGTACCTAAAGAGTGCAGATAAGTCTAGATGGTTTGGCGGTATGCCACAGGACCCTAGAGAAACTCATCCTCTGTACCATTTTTTTCAAATAGATGATTTTTATGAGGACATTGAACAGGATGATGATCAAATATGCAAATCATAGGAATCTAGGATAGAAAAACACATATACTATATGAGAGAATTAACTTTTTAAATTAATTAATTTATTTTTAGAGAGAGGGAGGGAAACATCAATGTGTGATTGGTTGCCCCTTGCACACCCCCAACTGGGGACCTGGCCTGCAACCCGTGCATGTGACCTGACTGGGAATTGAACCAGGAATCTTTTGGTTTGTAGGACAACGCTCACTGAGCCACACCAACCAGGGCAAAAGAATCCACTTCTAAAGTGCAGTCATACCTCAGTGCTTGCTGGCTTTAGAACTCATCAAACCCTGTACTAGTGGCACTTTGATGAGAAAAAAATGTTTCAGCACTCAGCGCTTGCTCAGGACTTGTCGTACTTGTTAGAACTTGTACGAGTCACAATGCCACCATGCAAGAGAAAATGCTTCATCATTCAGTACTCACTGGTTTTGGTACTCATCAGGAATTCTGGAATGAATTAAGCAGTACCGAGCTACCACTCTAATTCTAATTGGCTGGAACAGGAGGCTAAATCTAATGGGATAAGAT